TCTCTCTCTCTCTCTCTCTCTCTCTCTCTCTCTCTCTCTCTCTCTCTTCCTTGTGCATGTGTATCTGTCCAGGTGAAAACAGCTGTGCAGGGGTTAATGACGCCGGAGAGGGAACGGGTGGGTAACTAACTTTTTCATCCACCAGCCAGAGTAACGAGTCCGGGGGGAACAGAATTTACAGCTTTTTGGTAGACGTGCAGACAAGCTCTCCTTTCCTCTGCAGATGTTGCTTTTGATAACTTTGAACCAAAGAGCCTGCTAGAGACTGCTCTGTTTATTAGAATTAGTCGATTTCTCCTAAATTCACCAAACGTTACCATTAGATGATGCCTGGCGAACGTCACTCATAGAGAAGTCTCTGATGATGGCAAATATTTGAACTGACCACTGTGGGAAATGTAGTCCTTTGCAACCTCAGGGACTCCACTCCGGCCGAGTCAGCCGCCGGTTGACGGTCACATTTCAGGCAGAGACACGCGACAGTTTACTCTCCTCTTCCTCCGATCAAAGCTGCTGAAACCTGCCGCATGTTTTCAAGCCCTGCCTCCGCTACGTGCTTTTTTGGGGAGAATATATGGAAATAATAGAACACCAAATTTAAATCATAGCTTTGAACTCTTAATTGTTTATCCATCATGCTCTCATTTATTTTTTAACCGCTCTTAATTGTGATGAATTTTGCTACTAACTGCATTCAAAATACAACACACATAACAACAACAACAATAATACCCATGATTCAACTTGGATTAACCTAAATGAACATTTGGGGTGAATGGAGGCGACAGACAATCAAGATATTCACAAGAATTTACTGTTTGAGAAATGATGTTAAAGAACTATTGTGTTTAGCATTCTCATTGTTCCTCAGCATGTATTACATTTAGTGTTGTTTTGCCCGCTCTAGCTTAGCATAATGGGCACGTAGATGTAGCCGCTTGTAGTCACTGTATGTGTCTGTCAGAGTGTTTAAAGTGTGATTGCTAACCTGCGTGTGACTGCTACCAGGCACAGTGTTACCTTGCTCCATACCCGGCGAGGGTGGAGACCCCGGTTACCCCGGTGGACCTGGACGACCAGGTACGATTCAACAAAGTGCTTCTGTCTTTGTATGTCTCATTTTAAGAAGGAATGTCATTGTGCTTCAAATGTTTTTCTCTTAAAATAAGATTTATGAGCTTTTTTATTTCATGTTTTATGTTCTTAAGAATAGATTAGTGTCAATTTATGCCACTTGTAACATATTGTAACGTGAAAAGCGTTGATTTACTTCATGCTAACAATTCAATTCACTTCTATTTCTTATAAATAAACTCAATAAAACATCCTCATAATTGAAGTCGTACCCGTTTGCGCCCGTCAGGTCTTAAAGGTGAGCCAGGTTTCCCAGGAAACATGGGACGTCCCGGGTTTGACGGTGGCAAAGGAGAGAGTGGAGACCCAGGTTCTGGAGGCCGACCTGGACCACAAGGTGAACCAGCGTGGTCTCTGAACTATTTGTCATCCAGGTCGAATGAAAGGGATTCTGCCTTCAATCCATCACCTCTAACCTTTCCTCTACCCTCTCCTCCAAACAGGTTTCCCCGGACCCAGAGGGGATCCTGGACTTCCAGGTTCTCCAGGACAGAGTTTTGACGGAGGCAGGGCGAAGGATGGTGTTCCAGGGCGTCCTGGAGCCAAAGGTCAGCCCGGAGAGGTACTGGGAGCCACACCCGGTGGCCCCGGACAGAACGGTTTACCAGGAACCCCTGGAGACAAGGGCCCGCCCGGGACACCGGGAGGACCTGGATCACCTGGTGGGTCTCAGACAGAGACAATCTTGCATTTAAAGGGTTAAAATTAGAGGGATCCACAAGTGTTAAATCAGGCGTTTCTGTTTTTTAGTCCACCCCATTTATATCAGTGAGGGCAGGCTACTTCAAAGCAGAAACTACATCCTCCAAAATGACAGTTACAGTTGAATGACCACCCTTTTAAAACAGTTAAAAGTGAAGATCATAATCTCCATAAAGGGAGGATTTATTGCAGGACTGTTGTATTAGTAACAGATAGCTGTACCTAACAGGCTGTAGCTGTATTAGGAGTAGTACTAGTAGTTGTACTGGCAGCAGAAGTCGTAGTAGGATAAGAAGAAACAGCAGCAGCTGTAATTGTCTCTCCTCCTCCGTCAGGTGGTGACGGACGCTTCGGTGTCCCTGGGCTGAAGGGAGAGCGCGGCGTTGACGGGTTTCCCGGTATCCCCGGCCTTCCCGGCCTTTCAGGTGAGCCGACTTTCGGCATCCCCGGTCGGCCCGGAGCTCCTGGCGGCAGCGGACTGAGCGGATCACCAGGTGAGGGGAGAAAGGTCCAGTAACTCTGTCCATGTCTCACCAGACCTCTGTTTAACTTTGCAGGACATTGTATTCTTGTCTGTCTAGAGTCATTTCTAGCATGATTTATAGAAGAAAACGTATATTTAGTTTAGATCTTGGCTGTTGTCTCTCACTCCTCGTTCTTTTCACTTTTACCCTTTTTCACTGTATTTCTTTCACAATCCTCCGTTGACGAATCACACACCAGTTGCCTGTTTTGTTCCAGTTGTTTATTTAAACTCTGCATCAAAAGAATGTCCTCTCTTCCTGTTTTGTATTTCTCTTTGTTTCCTCCTCATTTCCTCCCTCCTTTTCTTCACACCACCACCATTATCTCCATCCATCCTCTCATCATCCCTCCATCATTTTCTTGGTGTTGGGTCACTCCGTTATAGGCTGCCAAGGTGAGACACCCTCTCTCCACCACTCACCCGTCCACCCGTCCACACTTTGCTCTCCATCCCTCCGTCCTCCTCCTGCTGTTCGTGCACTAGACCAAACGCTTTCACTGCAACGCTCCTCACAGTGTCTGCTCGCTCTCCATTTCTCACCTGTGCAGCAAAAAAATGTCCATCTCCATAGATTCATGTTGGCGTCAGTGGGGTGTGACCAGCTGCTCACCCTGTCTCAATCCACAAAAGATATTTTGCTTATGTTACGTTTTGCAGCCGAGTGCAATTTGTGTTTTTTGCCGAGGGAGAGGGAAGAAATGATAATAACCTACATTTTTGTTCTATTTTTTCCATGTTTTCTTCAAAAATGAACATTTTGCATTGAAATTAATGTATCACACCCGACTGAAGGACAGCTGATTCGACAAAAAATACAATTTTACTGCTTGATTAATGGTCAGATAAATGGCTTCAGATGGACATTTTAGCTGTGAGAGATTCAGAATCAGAAAGTTCTCAAGAAATGTGACAGTTGATGTTTTTTGTTTTATTTCCGCAGCCAGCACTAACGCTCGTAGTTCAAGTACACCTTGAAGTGTAACCTGATTGTGTTTACCGCTTCAATAGGCTCGTGTGGCTACTAAAGATTTGGGCTAAAGTGCTATCTAACAATATTAGAGGCATTTCTTCTTCACCCTTAAAAAAAGGACTTTTAATTTTCAACTCATCTCTGCATTGTCCCAGATTTGTGACACGTCATGACAATCTAATGTAGCTGTATGGATGTGATGAAAATGAGTTCTCTTTTTAACAGTAGTGGTAGTGCGCTATGCTGTCGGACAAACAAACTTTTAGGCGGTTAAACTTCGCTAATTCAGTCTGGAATTGCACTTGAGTTTTAAAATATATCCGATGTAATATTTCAGTATATTAAAGATATGATCTGGCACACGTTTAAACATTTAAATCACTGCATGTTGTGCAAGTAGCCACGACGTGCTCGTATCTGTTCAAGTGCAATTGCAGCCTAACCAAAGCAATGAAACAATGTAGAGCAACATATGTGTGTTAAGAATAAAAATAAATTTATAAATTTATAAATTGCTATATTTATTAATAAATGAATTGTGTTGAAGGTAAGTTAATTTATTATTTTAAAAAAAGGTAAGTTTATATTTGTTGGCTTTTAGTGAGTTTTATGTCTGAATAAGTGAATTTATGTTTATATTTTCATTTTATTATGTTATTGATGCAGTTTTTTTCACATAGATGTGTCCATTTATAATGTAGATCAGGACCCGTGTCTCACTAAAGCTCTCCGTCTTTCTTTTGTCCGTCTCGTGTCCCGTCATCATCCGTCCTCCGCCAGGTTTCCCCGGTCGAAAAGGGGAAAGAGGAGACCCAGGTTTCCCGGGGCCAGCAGGAATGAAGGGAACCCCAGGACAGCCCGGCACCCCTGGATCACCAGGGTCTAGGGGACCCCCTGGACCTCCAGGACCAGGAACTAGAGACGGAATCCCAGGAATCCCAGGAAGGAAGGGTTAGCCGGAGCTACTGTTTATCACCACAGTTAATGTTCTAACGTCTCCTCGCTGTCACAGCAACATTTTGATTCTGCGTCTCTTTCCACAGGTGAACGAGGTTTCCCAGGACTGACGGGTTTCCCCGGACTACCAGGTCGACCAGGAAGCCCAGGGTTTCCTGGAGCGAAAGGAGGGGCTGCAGGCCCCGGAAGAGACGGACTCCCCGGCGGTCCCGGATTCCCCGGACCGAAAGGTAGAGTGTCCAGAACAGGAAACAACCAGTGTTCCTTTAGTAAAACTCTGAGCAATTAAGCAAGCTTTTCTTAGACTAAGACGAGGCGATGACGAGACATGAAGTGATTTTGATGAAATATCAAAATGTTAAGCTTAGTTTTTCTTGACGGAAGCGTTCGTCACGCATTATGTGACCAATCACCGTCTGAATTTTTAGATTTTTTTAAAGAAAACCTGGTGCTCTTTCGTTGACGCTAACATCAATGTGTTTTTACTTCTGTAGGGGAGAGAGGATACACCGGTCTCCCCGGTTTGCCCGCTCCTCCTCATCGACAAGAGTTTGCGGAAAGAGGTGAACCCGGAACACCTGGAGGCAGCGGCCTTCCTGGCTTCCCCGGACCCAGAGGTAACACTACTGTTTACTGTATTCACAACTGAGCCACAGACTGTATCAGTAAAACCAACAAAGCACATAATCTGATCAAATCTTCAGGTGACAAGGGTCTGCCAGGTCAGCCTGGTCGTCAGGGTCTGCCTGGACTTCCCGGATACGCTGAGCAGAGTAAAGGACAGCCGGGACAGCCTGGGTTCCCCGGGCCGCCGGGAAGTCCAGGCTACCCCGGGCCGAAGGGAGAAGGTGGAATCATGGGATTCCCCGGCATGTCAGGACCACGGGTAAAAAAACACAATGAAAAACACACTCACAAAATGTAAACATGCAACAAGTTCAACCAGCGAGACTCAAGTTCTGACGCCTTCTTTCAGGGCGATGACGGTGCGCCTGGTTTTCCTGGCAACCCTGGAGAGTTTGGTCGTTCCGGTGGAAAAGGTGAGTGTAAATATCACGCAAACCCCCAAAAAAATATCTATCACATCTGTTTATGGATTCATAGATCCATCGTTTGACTCACATGTTCAGGTGCACCCGGAGAAAGTTATGGTTATCCTGGAGGTCCAGGAGCTAAAGGCCAGCCAGGAGAGTCAGGTTTCCCAGGTAAGACTCACCACAACCACACCGTACCTTTCCTCTGGAACGTCCAACAGTTGCTCCTTCAAAGTGCTCTTAACTTTAGACACCGGTTATGTATTTTGATTACATTATAAAACAGAAAAAATGGCCGTTTTTGTTTGTTATTTTAAACTGATTCACGCTTGTGTGTTGACGTCTGGTGTTATTCATCCCCTGTTCTACCAGATGTTTTTCCCACCACTTTAAAAACATCTGATATCCAACATCTGATCTCTCTTCAGGTGGCCGCGCCATCGATGGCGCCCCCGGTGACAATGGCTTTCCGGGAGGTCCAGGTTTCCCCGGAGCGAAGGGAGGTCCTGGTGAAGGAGGGCGGCCTGGAATAATGGGTGAGAGAGGCCGCTTCACCTCCTTCAAGACACCAGACAGAGAGAGCCAGACTCAGACAGTAACACATTTGCCCCCGTCTCCACTGCAGGCTCCCATGGTTTCCCCGGGCCCAAGGGCCAGCCCGGCTACCCAGGAAGAAGAGGAGAAGACGGGACTCCTGGTTTGCCTGGAGGTCCTGCAGGTCCTGGCGCCAAAGGTGAGAGAAATATGAACTTTTTGTTTCCACGTGAGACGAGTTAACACGACGAAGGAAGAATACGAGCAGGTTCTGTAGACAAACACTCTGTTGTGTTTTTACAGGTTTGCCCGGATCCTCTGGTTTGGACGGACTTAATGGCCTTGGTGGACCTAAAGGCCTCCCTGGAACCCCAGGCAAGGACCTGAGTCATACTTCTAGTGGTCCGGGGCAGTTTATGTGGAACTTTGACAGAGTCAGAAGAGAGTTGATCCATTTCAAACAAATGGATCAACTCTGGAGACCAGGATGTAGAACATGCACTTGCTCAAGTCTATCTGACCACAGTATCTTTAAAACAACATGAGGTTTGCAGCGACGGACCTCAAGAAGCTTGAGACAGAGTCAAACTCACAAAAACATACAGCTTTACAGAGACCAAGTGGCTCTGCAGTTGAGGGTTTGGTTTGGTATCGGAATACATGGTCTGAGAAGTTTGAGAAACTCTAATTTCAAGATTATACATCCACAATTGAACCATTCACAATGTTGAAGATGAGCTGCTGTTGAAGGTTGTGTTGTCTGTGGATCCAGGTGGGAATGCGGGAGGTCGCCCAGGTTCCCCCGGTGCTCCAGGATTTAAGGGGGAGAGAGGCGTCTCCTATCCAGGAGGTCCAGGCTACTCCGGACCGAAGGGAGAGAGAGGAGATTCAGGTGAGATGAAGGAAGTTTGAAAATGCTCACTGAGTATATATTTAATGATACGGCATCAAAGTAAGGACTGCGGGTTTGTTTTTGTGTCAGGTGGTCCTGGACGAGTAGGGTTCCCTGGTCTGCCTGGACCTCCTGGTCCCACTGTGGGGTCAAATGTTCCCGGACCTTCTGGAGACCCCGGTCTCCCTGGACTGGACGGAGATTATGGTAAATACATTTCCTCAGTCCAATGTCCTTTTCTTACTGTTACTTTCCCTTTTTCTCAACCTCGTTTTCTTTCCTTTCCTTCCCTTTTAGTTTCCTATCCTGTCATTTCCTTTCTTTCTCTTAACCCAATTTCCTCTCCTGTTTCCTTACCTTTCCTTATTACCTCTCCTCCCCTCCTAACCCTCTCCCCTCCTCTCTCCTCCAGGTCGCCAAGGTCCTTCAGGTCCCCCCGGCCCGCCTGGTCCAGGCACAGCCCAGGGAGACAGAGGAGACTCTGGGCTCCCGGGCTTCCCTGGCTCCCCCGGCAGGAAAGGAGACCCAGGCATCCCCGGAGGCCCCGGACTCCCCGGCAGCTCCAACTTCAAAGGTGAATTGGGGCCCCAAACCGCCTTTAAACTAAAGTTATGACAGTGTGAAATCAAGAAAACGTTGTATTTCTTTGTGTTAAGAAATAAAGTACAACATTGTGTCCTTGCGTTTCAGGAGGACGAGGTGAGACCGGCTACAGCGGAAGTCCTGGTCTCACCGGTTTCCCCGGTGACCCTGGTTATTATGGTAACAAAGGACCCAAGGGAACACGAGGTAGGAGGACTTTAGTCTTTCCACAGGTAGCAGTAGATTGTGATGGTACCTTTTATTTCCTCACATTCACCCTGTGTTCTCCCTCCGCCTTTCCCCCGTCCTCCCTCCTTGTCTCTCTCCGTGCCTTGCTCTCCAGGCCGTCAAGGTCGTAAGGGAATCCCAGGAGTCGCGCGGCCACCGGTGCTCCCCCCCTCGAGAATCTACGGAGAAATGGGTTTCCCCGGGGGAGCCGGCGGCTCCGGTGGCCCCGGAGAACCTGGTCTGCCTGCAATGCCTGGACGCCCAGGTGAGCGGTGACATTTCAAATGATCTCTGGCATGTTGAAGACACTGTTGGTTACTATTATAGCTCTTTATCATTAATGCCAATATCTGTTTTTATCTAAATCACGGTACCTTTGCTTCAAGGAGACATATGTTTTAGTATTTTTGGTGGTATTTAAAGGAATGGTGGGGTATTGTGTGAAATGCGCCAACAGTTCTACTCTCATATCTGAGCGTTAGATATGAGGACTGTTAGCTTAACTTAGCATAAAGGCTAAAAACAGGCATAATAGATTAGCCTAGCTCTGTCGAAAGGTTAAAAGAAATCTACAAATGAGATGTAACGTGTTCATCAGTGAGCTTTTTTGTTGCCTTTGTGCAGAGCCAGGCTAGTTCTTCCCCCTGTTTCCAGTGTTTATGCTAAGCTAAGCTAACCAGTTGGTGGCTCTAGCTTCATCTTTGAGACATACATGAGAGTTGTATCGATCTTCTCATTTCATATACATATATATATATATATATATATATATATATAAAGGTTGTGATTGACTAAAGTACAGTTAATGTGTTTTACAGCACAGAGAGACAGAAAATGAACAAATATGAAAATAGACATGAAACTAAATGGCTGTCTGGACTCTCCTGCTGCAGGTCCGAAAGGTCATCTCGGTCCTGTGGGTAAACTTGGCAGGACCGGATCTCCTGGTTTTCCCGGACCTATCGGCGACGCCGGACCCCCCGGTTTCCCCGGATCCACTGGAGAACAAGGTCAGCAGTCTGTCGGAGATGAAGCTTATTTCTAACAGTTTTGTCTCAGATGCTGAAGCAGAAAATGACAAATGTGGCAAATTTTCCCTTTTAAAGTTGGTAGAAAACATAATAACATCTGTTTTATATTATATCCTCTATTATTTTATAGTAGTAATAATGATTGTGACGAATAGAAGAAGTAATCAGACTTCTGACATTGTTACGTCTCACCTCATATGAAATGGGACATTACTATTACATTATTAAAAAATAGTATTAAATAAAACATATTGGGTCTACTTTCTCCTCGTTTCCTCTCCTTCAGGTCCCACCGGTGCAGTCGGTCGTCCCGGCTCTCCCGGCGGCATCGGCCGCAGTTCCAGCATCGGCTACACTCTGGTGAAGCACAGCCAGAACGCCCAGGTCCCCATGTGTCCTCAGGGCATGGCCACGCTGTGGGACGGATACAGCCTGCTGTTCGTGGAGGGACAGGAGAAAGCACACAACCAGGACCTCGGTACGGAAAAACACTTTTTATTCAGTCTTCATCTATCTTAATTTATGACCTGCTGAGACAAAGATGCAAAACTCCGGCAGAGCTTAGCTCAAGAGTAAGACGTTTTTAAAGATAGCATGTTGTATCAGATCCAATCCGTTGCAAAGAACCAGATTTTTTGATTTTCTTGCCCATACTTCTACCCGACAACTGAATATTAGAGTCACCCCCCTCTCTCTCTTTGTGTCTCCAGGTCAGCCAGGGTCCTGCCTCCCCAGGTTCAGCACCATCCCCTTCCTCTACTGCTCCCCCAACGAGGTCTGCTACTACGCCAGCCGCAACGACAAATCCTACTGGCTCTCCACAACCGCACCCATACCCATGATGCCTGTGGTCGAGCAGCAGATACAACCTTACATCAGCAGGTACTGGCACCCGGTTGGGACCCCTCGCGTCACAAGTAAATGTACCACACCTGTGTGTATATTACATGAATCTCTCTCTCCTCTTGCAATGAACAATCCAGGTGTTCTGTGTGTGAGGCTCCGTCTCAACCTGTGGCGGTCCACAGTCAGGACATGGCCATCCCCACCTGTCCTCCCGGCTGGAGGAGTCTCTGGATAGGATACTCCTTCCTCATGGTAAACTCAAGACTAACAAACCAATTTCTCGTTTTAAGGCCTCCAAATAAAATGTAGGGTTCTGCGCAAAATCCGATGAAATCAAGCAGGTTCACCGGAAAATCCTTCAGCTCAGACTCAAATAAAGACGTAACCTTCCTCCTCTCCTGTGCAGCACACGGCAGCCGGCGCTGAGGGCGGCGGTCAGTCCCTGCAGTCTCCCGGCTCCTGCCTGGAGGATTTCCGCGCGACGCCGTTCATCGAGTGCAACGGGGCCAAGGGCAGCTGCCACTTCTTCGCCAACGAGTACAGCTTCTGGCTCACCACCGTGGAGCCCAGCCAGGAGTTCGTCTACTCGCCAGCGCAGGAGACCCTGAAGGGAGGCCAGGAGCGCTCCAGAGTCAGCCGCTGCCAAGTCTGCAGCAAGATCTTGTAGTAGGAGGAGGAGCGGAGGGATGGAGGTGACATATAAACACCTCAAAGGAAAAGGTGCTGATGACGGAGGATGAGATGATTTATAAAGAAATCTATAAAAAGAACATTGACTGAAAACGAGCCCCGCTCCTGCTTCTCTCAAGAATCGAGTCGAACGACATCGACTCCGTTTTTTTTAGAGATTTTGATCCCTTTTAGGAACGAATGGCTTGTTACAAAAAGAAAAACAAACGAGAGTTTGAGTGAGGAAATGGAAAGAGCAGAGCTCCATCGCTCTCCTCTAGATTATCACTGACAATGGTGCTATTGTTTAAGTGTTTATTTTGTGTCTTGTCTTCTGTATTTTGTGTCGGTTTGTGGCGAGAGTCATTCTCGGCTACCTCGGAGAGTGGCGCTCTGGTTTGGCACTGCACCGCTTACACATCAGGGCCGGACGTCTGCTTCAGGTGATCGGCTCAGACGGTTGAGTCCAGCTTTGGTGTGTTTGAGAATTGGTTGAATCTAAAGGTCTTAACTTTTGTGAGCTGATCTAACTGAAGCAGAATCACCTGATTCGGGTTCAAAACACGAATTTTTCAGCGTAGCGGGCGCCATGAAGCTTTTCTTCTTTTTGCATTTACTGCCGGCTACGACCACTTTTACTGCGGTGATGTCACAGATTGTGTCACGTTAAAAGCTGCAGAAATTAATCATTTCATAAAGGTACGGAAATCAAATAACCTGCTTAAAAGCATTTAAGTGAGCTATCAGTGTGCTACGTGCAACTTTTTGTCAAGCTGATGTACAGAATTTACCTCATTTTCTATGTAAAGCATCAGACGCACGAGAGAAAATTGTAAAGAATAGAGAGAGTTGATAAATTTACAAGCAAATTAGTGGTGGAACACAACTTGTTCAGTCAATACTGAACATTTTAAATCAGATACCAGACCAACAGCAACTTTTAGGGCAGAAAATAACAATAAGCTTTTTCCAATATCCTCTTTATAATTTCCATCTTTGCTCATTTGATTTGACTTTCTAAGAACATAAATATATTTTCAGGTGAGAAATATCAAAAAAAATAAGCCAAATTAAGGTCCACTGTCTTCATTTTTATTCTTTTAAGCAAGTTGCAATTCTCCACAAGTTGATTTAAATAGTTTGCAGTCCGCATGTTTCATGCTTCATACGCCCGTGCTCTCTGTACATCTCACAATAAGACCCTCTGGTGCTACAACAACCCTCACTGACTTGAAAGACAATATTTTAAAATATTAAACATGCGATTAAAAGAGAACCCCCCCCCCGCAGCTCTTTTCCTCTAAATTGCTAAAACTGAATCCCTGCAACAGCTAGCCGCAGTAAGGAGTGACTATACACACACACATATATTGCACTGATGTGAACTCACATGCGTTAGAACAATAAACCAAATCAAGGGGCATATTTCCTCTCCACCTTCACAGGCTTTCATCTTTATTTTGTGACCAAACTTTACTCAGATGGCAACAGGAAACCAAACACACACACACACACACACTCTGACAGATTGTTAATTATTGCTGTATATAATGCTTTCTGTATTTCCCACCAAAGTATGTTTGAGCAAAACTCTATAAAGCTATTCGTTTTATATATATATTATTTTTACAGTCTATGTGTCTTTTCTCTGTCCTTGGATAAGAATAAGGAAGCCGTCACTTATCTTCTGTCTATAAATGTAGATTTTACAGACATATTTATGACGGAATTTAGCGTTTTTTGCGTTGACTTTTCGATGTAAATCAAACGTCTCGCCTCCTTTCCTTGTATCCTTATCCTTGGACGGTGAAAGCTACTGGGTGACTTGTAACCACTATGACCACTGTGTCTAGCACATAGCTCTGTCTCTCTGCTGGTAGCCCTGATTCTATTACTATGCCACATTTTACTTCTTTTTCATTTCATATTTCTCTTCATTTTTTTTTCTCGATTGTAATTATTTTACTTAAATCATGATACTATCCTCTGGCTTTATTTACTGAGATGGGAGGGAATGGGCAGATAACGATGTGTACATTAAGTATTATGGAACAAACAAAACAAATGCCTTTAGGATTCTGTTTTTATATGGAAAATATATTCACCACTGATGATTTAACAGACGCATCGACCGTTTTTATTGTCTGTTTGGTCTTTAGCCCGTTTTCAGAAAGAGTTGAAATGTTTTGTGCTGTTAGTGCCCGGAGGGACAGAGAAGAAATGCAGTTTTCCTCAAAGAGGATCTATAACAACATTAATAACATGGCTGTTACTGTAATGTGTATTTCTGTGCTCACACACGTTCAAATAAAGTCTCTGAACTAACTGAGAATGTCTAACGCAGAATTATTTGACATAAAACGTGAGTATTGTTTTATGGGAGCAGTTTGAATGTTTTGTAGAAACATGTTTTGTTGTGCAGGTCGAAATTGACTTGAAAAGACTTTGCCTTGTTGAACAACAATAAGCATAAAAAGAAAAAGTGATACTTTAAAACATAAATATAAAATGTAAAAAAATTCACAGTGAAAATATAGAAAAATACTATTAAAATGTGTGCAATATATCTGTTTTAAACAGAAAGTAATTTTATTTTCCTTTCCTGGAATGAACTTCCAAGATTATAATGATAGTAATACACGGGACAATATTGCAAGTAAACATATAGTACTGAGGTAGACTGGGATAAAAATAATAAAATATAAACTGAAATGTAGAAAGGAAAATTTGATAAAATACGGTGTGATCATTTTTTTTAGCTAAAACCCTGATTTGGAGAAGAAAAATACTCTTTAAATTAAATGAACGTCATGTCCCTGTCATGACACATACAGGCCAGTAGGTGGCGACAGAAGCCGTGCGGTGGTTTGGTAAACAGAAGAAGCTCAGCATTACAACAACACTGCTAGTAACCTTAGCTCAAAGAAGAGCGAAGTGTATTTTTTTCTGCATATTGGGAACATATTAACAGGTGACTAATGAAACTGACGGACACAAAAGCTTCTTAAATACTTGTTTAGCTTGTGTGCACGTTTCTACGATTGTTAAATTACGCGTTAATCTGTTTCCGGTGTGTGTAAAACGTTAGCCTGCTAGCTAACATTAGCTCCGCTAGCTTCTTTTCATTAGCTGTCAAGATTATCACCTGCTAACGGTTTGTTTTGGGTAACTTTTACAGTCTGTAATGTCGCTGTGTGCTAAGAGTCGAGTATGTCATAAAAATAAATTATGATTTAACGTTGCTGCCAGCTTCATCACGGCATGCTAGTTGAAGCTGCATTAGCTAGCTAACACATAATTATCCGTTACAAAAAGCTATAAAATGTTAGCTACACTGGCTAAACGTGGATTCCTCAGATGTTTTTGTCACTTCGTCTTAAAGGACATTCAGGGGTGTTTCGGGCAGAGTTTATAATGTTATGTGTACTGGTAATGTTCTCTGTCAATAATGTAATATTCTGTATAGTTAGGTGGTAACTAATGTACAGTGATACATGACATTACTTAGCTGGAAGTGAAATACAATGCACAGTATTTCATCCACTTTAAGGTAACAAAATGCACCGATAAATATGGTCGCTGAATATAAGGCTAGTGTTACACAGACCACAAAGTGGTTGTTGGTCAAGTGTGTCCAGGCCCACTAAATAAGGTGAATACATTATTATTATTACTGCGTAGTATGCCAGTTTTGTGTTGGCAAGAAATGCCCTAGCGCTAGCTTAGTGTCGCGTTAGTGTAGTTGTTCTTCCGTGGTGTGCGTGTCAGAAAGCACGTTGTCTGTTACGTCGGGTGGGTTGCCTTGTTGAGCGCTAGTGTAGTTGTTCTTCCGTGGTGGGCGTGTCAGAAAGCACGTTGTCTGTTACATCGGGTGGGTTGCCTTGTTGAGCGCAGTGGCTCCACCGAGAGAACATTATATTTCACACAATTTAAGCTATATTTTATTTTTCAAATGCAACAGTATTATTCAAACGTATTGTTCGGTTCGTAATGCGTACCGAACGGTTCAATATGAATATGTGTATTGTTATGTCTACTATTCAGTGCTAATAATCGTCATTGACATTGACCCTGAAACACATGTCCTGTTTTTCCTCTTCGATCCTCAATGCAGGTACGCTGGAATTTTCTGACACCCACTCGGACATGTCCTATGTCTTCATCAACGACTCGTCGCAGACCAACGTGCCTCTGCTGCAGGCCTGCATCGATGGAGACCTGCCTTTCGCCAAGCGGCTCCTGGAGACGGGATGCGACCCCAACATCCGGGACAACCGGGGCCGCACCGGCCTGCACCTAGCCGCCGCCCGAGGGAATGTGGACATATGCCGCCTCCTGCACAAGTTCGGGGCAGATCTGTTGGCCACGGATTTTCAAGGAAATACGGCCCTCCATCTGTGTGGTCATGTGGATACCATACAGTTCCTGGTTTCCAACGGGCTGAAGATCGATATCTGGTAGGAAATGTGATGCTTCGGCGATGAAGATGATGTTGAATGATGACTTTTTAATCCATCACATTACCATTGGCGCACTAACTGGTGCGTAACATGTAAGCAAGTCAATCAGAACGGCAGCTAATGCTACATGTAGACCGATGCATGTGTGTGTGTGTGTGTGTGTGTGTGTGTGTGTGTGTGTGTGGGGGGGGGGGGGGGTTTGCTTGCTGGGCAACTTCCACCCCGGTGGTAGATAACAGAGAGGGTGGACACCACAATGCCCTGTATTTTTCCCATAACACTCCGCCTACACAGGTGGCTATGTGCAGCAATTATTACACTGTGACTTTGAGTTATGTGACCTAGTTGCGTCCGGATGTGCATCCAGCCTGGTGCTGGCAGAGACAACGGTTTACTGTGTGTGTGTTTCAGCACCACATTCCTCTCAGGGGATTCACCTTGGATGTTGAATTGTGTTGTAAAGTAACTCGCCTCTTTACTCAAGAGTGAATCTGCATTCTCCACTTGCTACAGTGGCCTAGTTGTGCCAATGACATGTCTGCACGCTCAGTGTGAAATGTATTGTCTCTACAGTGGGCTCATACTATTTGCCTCAAGTCTGTCATTTTATTCAAAGGCTGAGGAGTTAAAGAAGTAGATCCCTCCTCACAACAGAGGAGGGTTGTGTGCTCAGAAGGCCGTATGAGTCTCTTAGTTTCCCTTAATAGATCAATGAAAAGACAGCCACGGTGTTTATCCCTTAACATGGAGAAGCTGTATCACAGCAGCTCTGGTCAACCAGTTTAATCATTTAAAGAGTCAGTTTAATCAGAGTCATGCTCAATCTGCTAAATACACACTGTGTGTGTGCTGTTACACAAAAGCTCTGACTGTTCAAACAAATCATCCTCTCCTTCAAGCTATTCAAACACTTCAACAGTTCATTATGCCCTAAATAATAATGATTTACTGGAATATCAGCAGAAAGGAAATACGTAAGGGTATAAAACGGTGTGTAGGATAGATACTAAAAGTGTACGTGCGCACAAAAGCTGACAATGGCGTATGCCAACACAAACAATCAGACTTGTAAAACCATGCATACGCCTGCCTCTGTGCAATTTCCTTTTAAAAATCAACCGGGCCGCACGGTCATGCGTTAAAAGGCAACATAAGAGGCAAACATAAACCAACATGGTGTGTGAAGTCATTTCAGCAGTGTAGGTGTGTCCATGAGTGGAAAGTGTTTCTGCAATGTGGTGAGTGTACAAACCACATACCACAGCTGTGATCACAGAAGAAGTTATTGTTGATGGTTCTTGTCAGAAATCGTTCCTATCTGCCACAACCTTTGAGCTGTGTGCGTGTGTGCGTGCGTGCGTCCGTCCGTCCGTCCGTCCGTCCGTCCTTTTTATCCAGTAGCCGTGCTTGATATTTCCTACAGCCTGTCCTTCGTTTCTAACAGTGTCTGTCGGTTGTTCTGCTCAACAGTAACCACAATGGCTCCACCCCTCTGGTGCTGGCGAAGAGACGCGGCGTCAACAAGGACGCCATCCGTCTGCTGGAAGGACTGGAGGAGCAGGAGGTGAAGGGCTTCAACAGGGGACCCCACTCCAAGCTGGAGACCATGCAGATGGCCGACAGCGAGAGGTGAACTACATGTGTGAGAGTGTGAGGAAGGATGGTGTGTGTGTGTGTGTGTGTGTGTGTGTGTGTGTGTGTGTGTGTGTGTGTGTGTGTGTGTGTGTGTGTGTGTGTGTGTGTGTAAGGTGGAGTAGAGCTCCTGTTTGTAACGGTGATGTCCTCCGTCTGTCTGTCCCAGCGCGATGGAGAGCCACTCCTTACTCAACCCCAACCTGCAGAGCAGCGAGGGCGTCCTGTCCAGCTTCCGGACCACCTGGCAGGAGTTCGTGGAGGACCTGGGCTTCTGGAGGGTGCTGCTGCTGCTGGTGGTCATCGCCCTGCTCTCCCTGGGCATCGCCTACTACGTCAGCGGGGTGCTGCCGTTCTCCACCAGCCAGCTGGAGCTGGTGCACTGAGGGGAGGGGCGGTGAAGACGACGCATGGGGCAGGGAGGGAGTGGAGGAAGTTCTGCTTTCGGCTGTTTATACCAGAACAGAAATCCAGATCTTTGTTTGTATTGTTGGGAAAAAGTATTTCTAAAAAGAAGCAGCGATCCAAAAGAACAAAACTCTCTTTCTCTATTAATAAAACAACTTGCACGCTTGAGGTGGTAGCAGGAGGAGCCAGGAGGAGTCTCACACTAACATGAGGTTGGTGTTGTTTAAATATTGTGTAACATATCCCCTTTAAAACGAGATGAGAAACAGCGAGGGAGAAACATACGATGCTCTTGTTTAGGTTTTAATGACGTTTCCATGTATGACACCTTATTTCATTTCATTCATACTGTGTCTTCTGTTACAAGCTGTATATTGCCAATGTTTTGTATCTTTTACTTTCCTATTTGTCTGATCTTTCCGTTATGTTATTTATCAGATATCTTCTCGTTGCAGACATTTCCTCTGTTGAATTTAAATCATTTAACATCATATATAAACTGTAGGATTGTAACAGCAGATTAACAATGTTTTGCTCTATATTCACTTTATCTTAACCGACTTGTAACACATGTAGAATTTATCTGTTGTAGCTTTTCCCACCTGTTGGTGTTTTGTGTACAATACCGCATTTGAACTGAATCCTAATTTAATGTGGAAAAAGAATAAAATCATGTGTACGTATGATTCTAATCAGCCATATTGTCAGATTTCTGATTCATCTGCTGATCAGTGCATTAATAAATATTTACACAATGTCTTTATCCATCCAGTATCATTCTTTATGCACAGGCTTGTATTGTTATACGACAAGTTATTTTGATTTAAAGTTGCTCAATACTCAACTTGTTGCAACACTGTGCAAAAATGTGTTTCCACTCCGAAATTGCAACATAATACCCTTTAAAAGTATTTGTTTAATTAATCAGAAACATGTCTTCATATATTAAAACTCGTAACTTATAACGAGTCATAGTTATTATAATATTTTAGTGTAACATAAAATAAAAAAATAAAATAAAAAGTTAACATTGATGGATTTTAATCCCGTTAATATGCGCCTTGTCACTCTATTCTTTTAAGGGGTTAATAATAATGTTAAGAAATAAGGTTCCTTGGGGGATATCAACACGAAGTATAATATTGCGGTAGGCAAATTAGCGCCTCTAAAAGTATGCCGATTTATCAGTTATAGTTAATCAAATATACTGCTGTAAATTTCTACAATTCAGACCGGTATCTGTAAAATTCCATCCGACCTCCTACCTCTTTTAAAAGGCCAATTTAAAGTGTTTCCATATATTTAATGTCCGACACATAGACTGTATATGAGAAACCCTCCGACAGTCTTTTCTTTATTTTATTGTATCCTCGTCCTAAAGTCATGCGCGTAAAACCCATGAAGTGCTCAAGAGAAGGCCCGGATAGGCCCAGCTCTGTTTACTGGCCAATGACATGTCTGGAATATTAGTGTGGGCGGGATTAACTGTTGACATTTGTCCACAGGTGAAGAAGTGTTTGTGCGCGCTCGCTCTCGTGAAATATCCGGACGTGTCAAGGTTTGTAAATATTCAAATTTTGCGTTGAAATTTAAAAAATGATGGACGTGATTAAAAATGTGCATGAAACAAGTCAGTATTCAGGCCTTAAATGAAGACAAGCTACAAGACGTCTCCGTTCATCAATGAACAACTAAACTCTCCTGTCACTGAGCTGGCGGATTATAATTGGATTAAATCATCTCCACGTTCGACTCCAACCCACGCCGCGTGCACCTTGAAGTAAAATGGCATCATCTCAAGTCACCCACGGTAAAAGGAGACGCTATTGTGACGTTGCACCGTGTCCTGAGTGACAGAATATTTAGTTGTGTGTTGTTGATCGTTTTCTGACAGGTTCCGGGCTCTAGATCCCGGAAGAAAGAAACGCCTGTCACCTGTCATGACGCGGTAGTGTCACCTGCCATGATCTGTGTGCGCGGAGGGAGGAAGATGAGAGGATCACATAAATCTGACTGTCTCGTTATTGCCCCATCATTTCCTTCAACATAACATAACTTTTTATGGATAATCTTCAACACTTTATTTATTATTTCCCCCCCCAAAAAAAGCTGAAATAGTTTGAAAAGTCTGCCATACACAAATTCCACGGATTTGATCTGCAATAAATATGCTGAAAGCTTGAAAAAGACACGTAGTACATCACATTAACACAATAGAAGGTAAACATTCTTTAAAATACATTTTATTTTGTTGAAAATGTAAGATTGAAATAAAGAAATTTGGTTTGAAATTAAATTATTTTTTTGGGGATTGCACCAACATACTATATTTTCATATATATTAAAAACATTCAATTGTCCAAACATTGGTGCAGTTGCTCCTCCTCCATGCTCCGTGCACATAAAATACATAGACAGCTGTGCTTTCAGGAGAAAGGTCGAAAAGACGTTTGGATGTCTTTAGACGTTGGACTCTGCGTGAGAACCTTCTAAAGAGCGGCCCTCATCGGCTTCAGGGGGGTCACGAGGAGGGCCACTGTTCAGTAGCTCCAGACCCACATCTGAACATCGAGCAACACCGGGTCCAGGGGTCCCTCTGGAGGAGTGGGTCTTCATGAACCAGCCGATCAGAACACATACAGTCGCTGTGATGATAAACACCACGGCTGCTGTGATGCTGACAGCGGTCATCAGAGTCCTCTTCTGGGTCTCGTCGGTGACGCTCTGAGTCGGCTACAAACCGGAGAATGAGAGGAAAGAAGAATTAAATTAGACGTACAGTGATGCAATGTTTGTCAAATGATGCGTGACACGCTGCACTGAATGCACGTGACGGCAGTAACAGCGTAGGCCATAAGTAGTTAAGTACATTTTGTATTTCTACTCCACTACAACTTCGAGGTACACTTACTACTTGCCGACTACATTTATCCGGTATAGCTACTTTGCAAATTAATATTAGTAATACGAAATATAATCAGCACACTATGACTTAATGTTGATCCCAGGGAATACACAGCAATAGCTGAACTTTGCTCCACCTTTACCAGCTGATACAAGTGATGATGAAGCATTATTTATTATAATACAATAATATAATATAGGATACATTATTCTGGACATTCTGCATAACTCATATACTCACACATACAGGCGGCGGGCTGCTGGTGGTCTGGTCCGGGACTCTCTCGGTGACTCTCAGCCTCACAGCAGACAGATCCTCCCTTGGTCCGTTATTGTCTTTATCTTGAACGTAAAGAAGGTAATCACCTTGATCTCTAGTCGTAGCCCTCTTCAACGTCACCGTCAAGTCACCCTGCGACTCCCACCGAGGTGATACAGAAACTCTCTCATCAAATCCAGCCCCGCGGGTCATGACCCTGGACAGAAAGACCAGCTGAAACACCGGCTCTCCGTCTCGTTCCACCGTGAACTTCCCACGTTTTCCTGCCGTCACGCTGAAGAACGGAAACGTGACCGTGTCACCCTCAGTGACCGATGAGTCGGTGAATAACACCACGTGCAGCTGGATGCGCTCATCCTTGGAGCCGCAGGTGAACTCGTACAGTCCGTTGTCGTTGATGTTTGCACTGTTGAAGATGACGGACTTGTTAGAACTTATCCGGTTTTCGTAACCTGATCCCGGCTTCCACCCATCATCCCACTGAGCCACCGGCCGGGTGCTGATATCGTTCAGCCGGTGCACCAGTGTTGCTCCTTCTTTCTGGCAATTTTCAGTTGCTGGAAACTTGACTTGATCTCCGTTGATAACATAGACACCTTCTCCAAAAACATGGGTGACAACACACAAGAGAAAGCCCAATATAAGCCCGTCCATTGTCAGTCTGCTCAGTGGCGTCCGTGTTCTATGAAGAGCTCTCTTCAAATGGTGAGTGTCCCATGGGGCGTGTGCCAGAGATTGTCCCTCCCGCCAGTATCGCGTGAGGGTAAACGTGTCACTGTTTGAAGAGACGGACCTCTGATAGGCGCTGCCTTCCTTACAAACACCAATAGGCTCATTGAGCAATAGGCTGTTTCACTAAACACCTGCTGCTCTTTCTTACCTCACACAAACAAAGAAGGAATTTGAATAGGTTTTAGATTTTTTTTTTTTCTTCTGAAATGCATTGTACTTCACATTGTCCTTAATCAGCGTTTGGATTTAACGGAATGCGTGGCGATAATTTGATATGAACCTGTTATCTCACACTTCCTTGTGTCAACGTGATCTCTCCTTAGGCCGCAGTTTAATAAATGTGGGGTACTATCTCATGCAGAAACCCTAAAGTGATATTACATAACCTTTGTGCAGTGGAGAGATGAAATTAAGGGAACCTGACACTCTGAGCTGTGTTGCTATAATCCCATAATTCCCATTTAACAGCATCATAATGCGGCGCATGTTTAATGGAAAACCTTTATCACTTCTGAAATTATATTTTTAAAGGCAAAACCAATACATTTAATTAATGAATTAATTGGTCAAGAAATTGCTCCCACCGATTTTTTAGGCTCTGTAATGTTTTTTTAATGGTATAAAAACACGTAGTAATGTTCCCATCACATTAGAAACACAAGCTCTGCTCTCTTAAACAACGCGAATGAAATTATTTTTATAAAAAAAAAAAAAAAAACAACCTGAACTGTTTGATTAAATCTATCGAGGAGCAGTCATGGAGCTTTGTTTGCTTATGCAAGAGTGTCTAAGATTTGAGAGCGTGTGGGGAAAAAAAACCAAAAAAGTCACACTGTTGATAATGTCGGAGCGATTACCTCAATAATAGAGATGATAAAGGCTGTAAGCAAATGAATAATTGCCCACACACACATTTGAGCGCGCGTGCCCTCCCTGGGCAAACACAACACTGACACTTGCCAGCAGTCATGTTTGTCAAAGCAAACTGCAGAACTTATCGTGGATTCATCTGCGTTAAGATGACAGATCATCTGGCTCAATTTTATGTCGCACACCTTTTGGAAACAGTAAATCAGATCGCTTTGATAAAACGGATTTAATGTGGCTTTCTTTCAGGTTGCTGCGCTGTTTTGGGGGCGCAGCCTACATTTTTAGTTGCGAAGAAGTGAGGCCACAGATGTGAGGCAAGTACTTTTCATATTCTTTTACAACTTTTTTGATCATGGTAACTGGGCTTTGAGTATCGATACCGGTCAGAGACCACTGTTTAATTAATAAGCTATAAGCCGAAGCGACTGGGATCATAATTTAAAGGCAACAGCTTGATTTAAACAATTATTTCTATAAGTTTGTAAAACAGAATGTAACACATAAATACACAGATATACATTAACTGTATTGGTATTTATTATTGAAATAATAAATTGTACGCCAGCAACTTGGTAAACAATCTTCAAAATGATCTGGAATTACAAATAAACTGTATTTGTAATGCAGCAACGGATTTATCAACAGGAAGTGCATATTATTTAGGCATATTCTGCCTTCATATTTTAAATTGCAATGTTATTAGTTTTATTACATTTTTGAATTAATTAACTTTGCCCATTAGGTGAGCCCCCCCTCCTCGACCCCCTCCACAACACACACACACACACACACACACACATACACTAAAAACATGACCAAAAGATGACGTTTTAAAAATAATTGAATCAAATTTATTGGCAAAGCAGACAAACAGTTTGTGCAATAGTGCAAAGGCATTATTAAGTTAATGATTTAATAAAATATTAGTCACACAGTGTTTCATCACCCCCCCCCCACCCGGCCCCTTTTAGTATTGGCGTTGAACCAATGGCCCCCCATTAACGTGAGATCCTGGAGGAGCGCTCCCATTAAGTGGTTGCATCTCCACATTTGAGCTTTCAGCATCGGGTCCAGATGAGGCATTTGATCTGTGGGATCTAAACCAGTAAAGGGCTCCCAGTCCCAGACCCATCAAAACCATAAGCACAGCTCCTGCTATGGCCACAATGGTCCCCTCGCACATCACGTTCTCTGCAGGTTTCTGATTTGGCTACAGAGGGGGACAAGAGGAAAAAGATAATGAATTCAAATGAATGGTGACACTTATTTGCATGATAACAGGTGTAACCTGTGAAGAAGAGGGGCACTCACACTCTCAGTCGGTGCTGTGTTCTGCTCCAGGATTCTCTCCGTGACTTCCATCCTCACAGCAGGAGGATTTCCCCTCCGTTTCTCTCCATCTTCCTCTACGGTGTAGCACATGTAGACACCCCGGTCCCCCGTCCTCACTTTCTCCATAGTCAGAGACAAGTCTCCAGTCACGTACCAGTCCGGTGACACGGATACATTCCTCTCCCCAAACCCGGTCCCATTTCTGATGAGCCCGGATACTCGCTCCTGTTCAAACACAAGTTCTCCGCCTTTCTCCCATCTTCTCTCTCTCCCAGCTCTTCCTCGCCGTCAAGTTGACCGAGTCTCCTATTATTGCCACAGCGGCTTCTCCCGAATGGCATCCGGCAGAAAAAAACTACAACGAGCGCACAGAGTGTAATTAGTGCCATTGTCACGCGTCGCTAGAAAGAAGAACAGGGCTAAACTTCAGCCAACACCTGTACACACGAGCTGCTTTCCTCTAGAGAGCCAATCGTTTGAATGAAAGGTGGGAAGAAGCCGGCAAGGCACACCGTTGGTCGGACTCACGTGACCAGTAGGAGGAGTAGGCTGTAACATTTATTACAATAATCTCCACTTTGCACAGTAGTCCTATTTAAGATGCGATGTGTTGTATGATGTGCCTTCTTCCAATTTCTTTCTAATGTTGACAAAGAGTGAATTCTTTATTTCAACTGATACCAATATAGTGACGTTTGTATGTTATTCATGTTGTCCTTACAGCTAAAGTACAGAGGACTTTATGGCACAACCTGCTCACTCACACAGTGGCAGACCTGACAACAGTTAAGGAGTTCCCCCTTGTGGGCCTTCTTATATCTTAGTTGCTTTATGCTTCAGACATGTGACTTATAAGTTATCCAATGAAAACTCAGAGAGGTCCAGATGCTAAAATGTCCTTCCAGCAGAGGATCAGGAATCATTTCTAAATGGCGACCTACAGCCGTCTGTGAAATCAACAATGTACATTTGATCATTTCAACAATATTTGTTGTGAAATCATTACAAAGTAAGACACATTTACAGACACATTGAACTTGTACTTGACAAACATTCTGCATGTGTGTGGTTTCAAACTGCCAGTATGTGGATTCCTGATTGTCTAAACCTTACTCAGCAAATCATCATTTTACTGTTTTTTCTTCTTGTAATGCTTGTTGTTACCCCCCCCCCCCTTACTGCACTTATTACGAAATATGACTTCCGTTATAAATCCCGGCAGCTCTTTTGTTTCATTCTGATGAGTCACTACGTGTCAGCTGTGAATTCAAGAGTTTGTGGTCTCCTGGACTTACCAGGCAGGCTTTCATGTTGTAACTCATTTATGTATCATTCTAACAATAGTATGTTTGACTTTGTTATTTTCCTGTTTGGTGAACCGCTGAGTTACAAAAAACCTATATTATAGTATATGGAGGATGAGTTCAGGAGTCTCACTGCCAGAGGAAAGAAGCTGTTTTGAAGTCTGGTGTTCATCAGCTGATACTTCTGCATCTCTTTCTAGACGGCAGCAGGGTGAACAGGTCATGGCTGGGTGTTTTTCTTTTCATATTCGCAGGCTCCTCTTCTCACCAATATCCCTGATGCTCAGTAGATGGGTACCAATAATGTTCTGGGGGATTTAATCACCTGCTGTAGAGTGTCCTGTCCTGTCCTTGCTCTTCTGTAAAAGTCAACAAGAACATGGCACGATAATTTAACCTTCTTAAGTTTCCTGAAGAAATACAGCCGTTTATGAGCTTTCTTCTCCAGGATGGAGATGTCTGAGGACCATGTCGGGTGGTTTGGGATGCTGGTTCTAGGACCTTAAAGCTGCCAACTTGCTCCACCTCAGCTCCATTGATGTAGGCAGGAGACAGGAGCAGCAGGTTGTTCTCTGAGCAGCACTCTGCAAGGTTGTTGACTTCCTCTCTATATGAAGCCTCATTGTTGTTTGAGTTCTCTTCATGTTTGGGGTAGCAGTCGTGGGTGCACAGCGTGAACAGGAGGGGACTGAGCACACAGCCCTGGGGGGCTCCGGTGTCCAACACTAGACAGGAGGAGGTGGGTCTGTTTGTGAGGAAGTCTAATAACCAGCTTAGTGTATCAGTTTCATGGGGGACATCGTGTTAAAGGCTGAGCTGAAATCCACAAACAACATTCTGAGTGGAGTCAGTGGAGACAGCATCCTCTGTGGATACAGGGACGATGGTGGCTGTCTTGAAGCAGGTGGGAACTCTGTCCTGTGACAGTGATATGTTGAAAATGTCAGTGATGACATCAGTTAGCTGGACCAGGGATGTGATCAGACCCAGCAGCTTTACTCATATTCACTGTCATCAGGGTTTTCCTCACATCCTCTGTGGAGGCTGACAGTGGCCGTCCTCTGGAGGCAGACCTGACAGCTGACTCTTTGTTGAGGAGATCAGAGTGAGCATAACATGTGTTCAACACTTTAGTTAACGTGGCCTCCCACATAATGGGGACACTTCTGCTTTTATAGCCTTTCGTCATTTTGGATGGCCTGCACATATCTTTAGTGTTGTTGGTGTGGAGGTCTCTCACCAGTCTGTCTTGACGCCTCCTCTTTGCCTCCTTGATGCCAGCTTTCAGTCCTGCTCCGGTGATGCATGCTTTCTTGTCACCTGACAAAGGAAGCTTTTTTTGGGGCGTTGGATAGTGCCATCACCTCTCCATTCATCCAGGCCAAATCAATCTAGTCCGTTCACTAAAGCAGGAACTTTAAGGTTTGCTTTCTTATCAAGTTGTTTTCCTGTCTGTTTTTAATACTGTCATTAGATCATTAGATCCCCTCTTTACTTATGCAATGCATCTGTTTAGTTTTTTTGTATTTAGTCCTTTGGGAAAAACTAGATGGGGCTGTTTTGTTATGCTGACTGTTTGTGGTGCTGCCCCCCCCCGTATGAACGTGTCATCTTCCGTCATTGACGCACCGCCGGTATCGAAAGTACCGACAGCCTCCCTGCAAAACGTTTGTATGAGCGGTCGACAACAGTCTGACTCGCTCCGCGGACACGAACCTTTTTAACTCCGCTTCACACTCTGACTTTTCTTTTTCTTTTTCTTTTTCGCTCCCCTTTGTGAAGAGTTTAGTTTGGATATTGTCTTTGGTTTCCGTCATGTCTGGTCTTCTCTTCCTGGTGGTTTCCGCCCTTCTTTGCTGCGTAGGAATGCAGCCTATGAGCGTTAAAGGTTTGTGTCTTATTTATGAACGCTTTACTTTATTATTGAGACACGAGTGTGTTCTAGAAGCTGTTAGTGCAGCTGAATAACCTCGTTTTATTTGGGTTCTTCTAAAACGAATTGGGGGAAGAAAAAGGGAAGAAAGTTTTTAGTGTGTGTGTGTGTGTGTGTGTTAGTGCGTGTGTGTGTATGGAGAAACTAAAGGTAAATGGGTGAAAAAACCCATTATAGATATCCCCACAACTTCCCAGTTAATTTCTGACACTAACTCTTTTTTGTATGACAAGTGTTCTGAGATTGTATGTTTAAACATGCATATGACGCCATATCTTTACTAGATATGCACTCATTTGCATATACATTTCCAGAACATAAATCTGAAGATTAGATAAAGCCATGTTCAAAATTCAGATACAAAAAAAAATGTGATTTATTTTAAAGCAATGCATTGGAAATCAACAACAACAAGACAAAAATGTAAAGGACATAAAAAAATAAATAAATATACAGTATATATATACACCCACGTGTACGTATACATATACACACCCATACAAAGTGTCACGTGTATATTTAGGTGAAGAGTTGAGCAGGGATGTGTGACTGTATGTCATTGTCAGTGGGGGTCCCGGGCTTTGGCTTTTTTGATGAGTATAAGTGTGTGTGTGTGTGTGTGTGTGTGTGTGTGTGTTCATGGTAATGAAGAGAGGTGTCACAGAGGGCAACAATGATGTGTTTTTAATCGTTTTTTTGGACAACAATGGAGCTCTATGACACATAGCAAGAAGATGTATCAGGTTTTACACACATTACGTTAGTCTTTTCGTAGGGTTTGTTGACAATAAGATTATTTTTTTTAATTGGTAGGAGAAGCATCGCCAGTCAGATCAATGAAGATCCAGACCTTTGTTGGCCAAACGGTCATCCTTCCCTGCCAAATTAAAGTCAGTGAATACGAAGATGTCCCTTCAGTAGAGTGGTCCAAGGAAGGTCTGAAGCCCAACATCGCCTTCCTGTACCGGCATGGCTTTGAGACCTTCGAGGAGAAGAATCCGGACTTCCATTACCGGACCAACCTATTCATGAAGGAAGTGAAAAAGGGAAACATGTCGCTGAGGCTTTCCGACGTGCGGCTGTCTGATGCAGGAACATACAAATGCAGGAGGATCCCGATGGAGCCCCAGGACGCCAGTACAATAGAGCTTTCTGTGGGTATGTCCGAAAACTTTATTTATTGTAAATTACTATGCAAAAGTTGCTTGTTATCGTTATATGTTTGTTACCTTTGGTCAAATCCAGGTTTGCAGTTTTTCTGCTATGCTAAGCTAACCAGCTGCTGGCTGTAACCAGTGGTGGACAAAGTCTATTCAGATCTTAAACGAATTGGATGTTCCGAGCAGAGGGATTGCCTCCACACGGCTCTCAACATGACTACGGCTGAGCCGGTGGCTGGCAGCTAACGGTGCTAACGGTGCTAACGGCGCTAACAGTGCTTACAACGGTAGTGTTCACCTGAGGGTGGGCGCTAAAGGTACAAAAGCATTCGCATCAAAAAGTACTTAAAGTACCAAAAGTAAAAGTACAAGTTCAAGGATTCAAGGAAAATGTATTCTCATTAAGCAACACAGGGATGGACAACAAAATGCAGTTGTTGTCCATTTGTAACACAAGAAAAACATGACAAACAAAATAAAAACAGTAGTGCATTCCTGTAGCGCTTTATAAGGAATATAAACAGCAACAACAACCGTTATCTGTGCAGATAATGTGGCCGAATATGTTCCAGTAATAAACACGAAAAAACAACAAATTAAGACATTAAAATTAAGTGAAATTCATGGGAGCTACCGGCCGCAGCATAACACAGGATGAACCATTTCAGAATCATATTTATGATGCTGGATTAAAATGATTGATGCAGGTTAAAGGTATGATGGATTCACATCTTGTAGTGATGATTACTGTCGCCAAAATATGTGTGCGGAGACACGCAGGAGGCCTATTTAGTTTTGTTGTGTATTTGATCGTGTTTTTCATTTCAACTAATGTTTATACTGCAGAGTGGCTTAATCCATAACAATGCATCATAGTGTTTTTTTTATATATTTTCTATGAATAATTAAAATACATTTAGTGGGGTAAAAAGTGCAATATTTTCCTCTGAGATTTAGTACAGTAGAAGTATAGCAGTAGCATAAAATGGAAATTAAGTGCAAGTACCTCAGAATTGTACTTAACACTGTACTTATTTTCATTCCACCACTGTCTGAAGCTACTTATTCACCACACAGACGAGAGAGTGAATTCTATCTTCTCATCTCACTCTTGGGAAGAATGTGAATCAGAGAAAGTCAAACCTCAGACTTCTCTGCACCTGTTTCACTCACACCTAAATTACTTTGATCAAATATACAACCTTGAAGATTCCTTACAAAGACCGGACACTATTGCTCAACGAAGTATTTTCCACATTGGTAATGAATATGATTTTGACTGAAATGTTTAAAGTATACCTTGTATGATTCTTTTTTTTTTTCCCGTTTAGGTGCAGCGTCTGAGCCCAAACTCTCGCTGGTTCCAGGCGCTGGAGTGACTCTGCAGTGTGAAGCGAGCTGCTGGTTCCCGATGCCCGAGATTACATTTCTCGATGCTCAGGGGAACGTCATCAGCGCTGAAGACCCGAAGAATGATCCATCCACGAGCGGCTGTTTCAACGTCGCAAGGAGAGCGACTGTGCAGACTGGCAACAGGTTAGATTCTACTTTGACTTGTTATTTAATGCGTAGATTTGGTTCCATCTCTAAATCTATGATGTCATTTGCTTTATATACCTCACGTTAACGTCATGGCGTCATTGTAAAGAGCACCAATCAAACGCAAATGATGTGGAAACTTAGATGGAAATATTGCAAATCATCCACACTCGCGTGATGTTTTTGTCTGCTGCCATTCCTTTCGGCACAAAACTCTACAAAAACAAACTTTAATGAACTCATGTCTTGTCATTACAGGTTCACCTGCAGAGTTCACCAGCCTGACATAAACCAGAGGAGGGACACGGAGATTTACATACCAGGTACACTGGAGCTCTAACACCCCACCTGCAACTAAAACCTACATTCACATTCATGCTTTAACCTTCTCTTGCCTTTTTGTCAGCCGCATAGAGTTTTGCTATAAAACAACCTGGACCCTAGTTCCCTATGTTTTTGTGTCTAAGTGTCTTATAGGGACAACACATTTTGAAACGAGTTCAGTATTGAGAGAGACCGCTGCAGACGGCTGCAGTGTAATCTCTCTCTTTGGTAACTCCTCACCGTCAATGTAGGTCCACTAAAAGCTTATTTTCGCCACTGACTCGTGCTCAGATTGTTATTCTAAGTGACTGACGTCTTTATGGAAAGAACCCTACAAAGAAATAAAACGGGTTTCTCAACCTTTCTCTTGATCCGGTCTGCTTGTTTGGGTGTCATGTGACTCATTGCCATCAGTAGAAACGTGAGTGAGAGTTGGAGAGAGGAGTGTCGCTATTTTGAATATCATGGCTGAATATTTAGATGATTTCCACAAGTCCTTTTAGTGGACGAGCATTAGGGGTGAGGAGTTGCCCTGAGCGGTTACACATCACCATAAAGGACCGTTTAGTGGCTGCTGTCTGCAGCGTTCTCCATCAATACTGGACCAGTTTTTAAAATGGTTGTCTGCATTGCCAAAGTGATGTAACCCTCCGCCTGGGGTTCCTTGCGACAGGTTGTGGCTTGTCTGTGCGTCATCGTTTTTTTTCTAAGTGGAAGTTTCCCTTCTGCTTAGACAACTTTGATTTTTACTTCTTCAAATTTAAATAAATGGAGAAATTTGATGAAGACATGAAGATATGTTGATGTATTTTGGTCATTAGTGCATGTTGTAACACCGTTGACTCTTATCTTATCTGTAGGATACTAACATACTGAGGTTTTTCTGGCCAAGATAATTAAATCAAACATTTGAGTGTCCGAATCCTCAGTCAAAGAATTAAGTTTTTCTTATCCGAGGATTTTATTGAGGAGAATCCAATGACTTGGACATTTAGTGTGACTGTTGTTAGTGTTTCCTATTTTCTAAATTTCCTATAATATACTTATGTCTGTGTAATCTTTATTATTATTTCAGATGACTACATGGGATCCTGCACTCCAACAGCCATTCTAGCATCCGCGGCTGTTCTAGCATCCATAACTCTAAATGTATTCCTATGCTGGAAATGTTGCAACTCTGGTGAGTCGATCACACTTTGTTTGATAAAAGGAAGCTTGTTTTAGTTTGCAGCTGGCAAATCTTGAAATTCAACACCAGCTTCTTCAGCCAAATACCACACGGACACAGATATGTGTGTAATATTTGTGATCATTGCATCTTTTGAGGTTAAATTGATGGAATTAGTTTGTTTGTAGAAAAAGAGAGCAGTATATTTGTACCAAAGGCAGGTTAGAAAAAGTAATAAAAGCTGAGAGTTAGAAACGCACGGTGAGGGAATCATCAGATAAATCGAATCCAAACACTTGAACCACAAACACAAAGTGCGACCGAAGATATTTTCATTTATCAACCTAAAGAAACTTGAAGAAGCTTTGTCTGTTAGAAGATTCCTGAGCATGATTGTAACGCAAATAAAAGTGGTGATGCAGAGCTTTTTATGTGTACCAAACACAGGAAGCATCAAGTGCTAAAAGAACATTTTTCTTTTTGTTCTCACACAGAAGGACGTAAATTGCCTTCCAACCAATCACCAGTCCAAAGTTCAACACGCAGCAATGCAGAACATCAAAACCTGAGAAACCAGGCAGAATCCGTCCAAAATGCCGCCAACGAGCATCGGAGAAAAGTCGATGGATTGAAGTCGAAACTTCATGACAAAGATGAGATCATCCGCAGACTAACTGGAGAACTTGAGTTCCTCAGATCTCAGCAGCTGAGTCCTGTTGTGTGCCGCCAGCCCATGAACCTCGCTCCAGAGTTTCCCCACGTCATCGATCCACAACCAGCAGCCTCAACCAACAACAGCGGTCCTGACCTTTTGACGAATAGCGGTGCTGCGTCGCCCATCGCTGCTTCTCCAGCTGCTTCTCCAGCTGCTTCTCCAGCTGCTTCTCCAGCCTTCCCTGCAGAAGGACCGCTTGTTGGCCTTTCGAGGAGCATGTCCGAGTCTCGGCCTCGTTCAAACGCCACCAAGGCCCAACGTAGATCCACCATCTCAGTCCCGTCCAGTAACCGCTACAATGTTCTGGCAAATGTTTCTGAAGATGATGCGGAGCCGTTGCTGTAAATGAGAACGGAGCACACTGTAGAACTTTGTGATCAGTTCGGGTGGCTTTGAAACAAATGATTGCCTCCCGATGTTTACAAAATGCTGGGTACCCACGAGCCATCGACACTTGTTGAGCGCTCAGGAGTTGCTGCTCATTCTGCAGATTTGAAAAACACATCCTGTGAACCAAAGAAAAGTCTCCTGAGAAAGAGTTTTAAGTTTAGATTTATTTAAATCTCTACACACTTAAATGTATTCAGGTTTCTGGTCTTCAGACCTTTCGTGGTTTTAGCTGTTACTTTATGTAGATTGATTTAGTTGAAAAGGACGAAGCACCTTCTTATCTAAATATAAAACCTTTATTTAAGAAGTCCTTTGCACACGTGTCCCTTATTGTACTCTGGGGTTTGTTTTATTCTCTTTGGTGCTCTGGAGTTTTTAAAAGCATTAATACTTATTCTGTCAACTCTCAGGATAATAACATATCTGCATATTTTTAAAGCTTTTTGTACTGTTAATACTAATAAGGGAGCTTTTATTTGTTTAACAACAAATAAACAGCAACCTGGTGAATGAGGCATTTATCTATTTGCTTCACAGGTGAAGGGTTCGATCCGCCAGCGTTCAGCTTTAAAGAAAGTGATTTAGAAGTAATCTTTCATCTATAAATGCATCTGGTTTACATTTCCTTTCATTTGAAGCTGTTTTCAGATGTGAATGTGATTATTTCCGTCTCTTACGCCGCTACGATTATACCATCGTCAATCCTCTTTTGTCATTATATTCATTTAATTTGTGAAAACAGACACAACAGCTACAGAATTGTCAAGCATCAATATTTTTGCCATGTGACAGGATGTATTTACTGTCAAATGTTTTTTAAATGTTTTATTCAAAGCTAATATTTTTACATATTTGAAAACCAAGTTGCACTTAGTTTTGTACTTATGAATTAATGTCATTAAAATGATCCTTAACATGATTCTGTCATTGACTTAAACGTTGTTTTCTAAATAATTAATTCATTGATTGAAGTGGAACCTAAAAAGTACAAACAAGGATAAAACCATCTGAACCATCTGTCACTCAAACTCTCACCAGCCAGTCGGAAGAAGAGCTGAAACATATCTTCCATCGAGGAAAGCCTTCCGTGTCGTTCTTTGTTCTTCTATCAAAGAAGAAATGCTCTCCAGTGTGTTTCTGTCCCCTGGTGGCCGAATAGTGATTCATGCAGATTTGAATTAAATGATTTGGGATATTTGCTATGACAGTTTGTAGTTTGTGGTCGTTTTTTTGTGCAGGCTGCTTCATATCCTGTTGGCTTGTCTGCATGAGGCTGGTGACGGGTGTGAACCTGTGTGGGTGAGAATGAGCTGAATGCTCCTGGTGTCATGTTAATGTGTGCGTGTTGAAGTTTGTGGAGGTGAGAAGTCTGTCAGAAAGAACTAACACACGTTCCATTAAATCAACAGCCGCTGCTTTTTATCGGTCCAACATGAATGTGAATTATGTGATTTGATTTTCCCTCTGTCTCTTTATAATCTGCTGCAGTATAAAATATTCATCTTTCATTAAAGCTGTAGTTAGAATCTGCCTTACCATATCTTCACATATATATTTAGGACACTCTGTGGCCTTAAGTCTCATTAAATCCAGTTAGATGAGTTCTACAGCACTGATTCTCATAGTATGGTCCATGCAAAGTTTCCACATTCATTTATTGAATCATCATGATGTAAACATGTATTTATTTATTTTTACAAGATGAAAGGCGTTTTTGTTCTACACCACAAAGTTTGACTCTTCCTGTATTTTAGTGATTTCCTGTAAAGCAAGGATGTGGGCTGACTTTCTACCAACCTGAGGTGAAGAAGAAGACGGAACACATCGAGACAGGATGGGGATCACATCACTCTGCCTGATGCTCTGTGAGAAATTCAACTTTTTAAAAAAATATATCGCTTTCTGCTTTCTATCGTCAGCTATTTATCACCTGACAGACTTTTAAACCCTCGTATTGTGCTAGAAAGGAGCGACAACCTTTCTAGCACAATACGAGAGTTAAAAAGTCGTGCCTTTCAAGTATAATATATACATAACACATATGTGTATATGTGTTACTGTACCAATTGGAGGTACTTGAAATTTTCTTGAATATTTCCATTTTATGTGACTTTCTACTTCTCCTGCGCTCCATCTCAGAGGTTACAGGGATGTTGTACTTTTTACTCCATTAGTCTGAAAGCTTTAGTTTCTTCTCAGCTGACATCTTCTCGTCCCCTTCCTGTCCAGTGACAACCACGTATCTCCAGATGTGTTGCTGTTGCTTATTTATGATAAATTGAAGGGTGAAGTGTTCCTTTATGTGGTGAGAACGTTCTCCTACTTCTTCAGCTAAATAAACTCTTTAAAAAGCCTCTTGAATCAGCTGGAAAATGCATCGTCACTAAGCTGTTTGTTCTTGTTAGAGACACGTGGTTCTCACAGGACAGCGACGCTACAAACACATCATGAATCTATAGAATACGAGGCATTGATGGAGATTAAACTGCCCAACATCATCTATAATAAAACACTGACTTCAGTAAAGGATCTGAAAACATCTTTACAATCTGCACATCAAAGGACAACCTCAATCTGATGGTTCTTACGTTCCTTCCTGTGTGTTCAGCCACGTTGGTGATCCACCCCAACAGATCTCAGTTCTTCTCGTATGACTCCGTCACTCTGACCTGTGGAGAGGCAGGAAGCTCTGACGGTTGGATATTGAAGAGAAACACCTCCTCGCATGCGTCTCAGCTGTGCGACTCTGACTGGGGAGTATCGAACGGGTCCTCCTGCATCATCGAGGACGTCTATTCATCGGACAGCGGCATGTACTGGTGCGAGTCTGAGCTGGGGGAGTGCAGCAACAGCGTCAACGTCATCGTGACTGGTAACATGTGCATGGAGCTTTTATGTATTGATGTTTGAGGCTGACTTTATGCTGTGCAGGATACCCACACGATCTACAATGTGCACGACGGCAATGACAGCATGGTTTGGTTTCAGGTGGGGATGTGATCTTGAAGAGCCCTGCGCTTCCTGTGACAGAAGGCGATAAAGTGACACTTCTCTGTTCCAACAAAGAAGGCGAGAACAGAAAAAATTTCTCTGCAAAGTTCTTCAAAGATGGTGTTTCCATCGGCACTGGACCTGCAGGAAACGTGACCTTTTTGAAGGTGTCCACATCTGATGAGGGTTTCTACCATTGTGAACTGCCCACAGAAGGAAAGTCCCCACAGAGCTGGCTGGCTGTTAAAGGTGATGATGATGTTCTCTCTGCACACAGTGTGTATGTGGAGGCTGCATTAATAAAAACAGAATGATCGAATATTCTAGAATAATGTAACAATTTGAAAAGAAGACAATCATTGCATACAAATTATTTACAGATAATTTCATCAAGAAATTCAAATCTCCTCGTGTCCTTTCTGACGTTTAAAGTGCACTCACTGGTGGTGAGGAGTAACTTAGATAGTGTTCTATTTAACCATATATATATATATATATATATATATATATATATATATATAGTCTGTGATTTAACCAATCAAATGCCTTTTCTCCTCCTCCCTTGTTCGTTGGTCAGCAGTCAGCGCTGAGCCTCCTCCTCTCATGCCTGTGCCCAAGCTGGTGTGTGCCGTCCTGCTGGTCGTCCTCCACGTCGTCATCTTTATAGTCTGTGTGAATATACACAGAAAGTTAGTGAAACACCTCCGGGAATCATGAAAGTAAAACATTCTTAACTATACAACTTAACAGCTCCATTTATATTGGACATTAATATAAATCTATCGCCAGTGTTCTTGTATGATACAATGAACTTAAGTTAACTTGCCACAAACCAAACTCTGCACAATCTTCTGAGTATTTAAACAACATTTCACATTTTATTCCTTCATTTAGCTTTTCAGCAACATTGTCTGTGAACGTAATCTCCTCTCGGTCTAAATGTTCACTGTGTCTAAACAAGCTTAGGCTCTGGTTGCTTATCTGGATACAAATTATTGGAGAAACAATGATTATTAATTATTAATGAAGGCTCCAATAACAATATTGGACTACATTTGTGTCCTTTTATTCTTACCGACAGAAGCTGAACATCTTAAAGCTTGTCGACCATCATATTGACCATCTCATGACACCTAGTGGCCATTTTAATTCATACCACAATACAAGATGTCAAACGCTGAATTGAAAGCCTGAATTGAGTATAAAAACCTCGTCTAGAGTCTATAATGAGGTGTTTCTAGTCATTAAAGATTACATGCTGAAATAAGACGGGATAAAAGAAGGAACTGGAAGTAGACCTGAACCACAACATTTATGGTGTTAGAAGGTGAAAGCATGTCACAGGATTTCAGAGATATAATTTGGTCTTTGAGTGATTCATAGCCCAGTAGCAGTATTTCAAAAAGCAGTATTATTATTTTTTAATAACTGATAACCATTGCAGAAACTGTAGAAAGGGTGTAGTGTAATATGTTCATGTTACTTTGTTTTATTCAGTGGTGGAGAAAGTATTCAGATACTTTACTTCAGCGGAAGTACTCGTCAGGAAAATGTACTAAAGTATAGAAATGTCCCCTGTGACTGTTAGAATATTATATATTCAATCATTCAATTACTCATGCATTAATGTAAGAGCAGGATTTTACTGTAGTTGGTTGAGCTTGAGCTCATTTTCATTATAGATTCATCTGCTGATTATTTTCCCAATTAGTCGATTGGTTTGTAAAGAAAATCTGAAAATAGTGAGAAATGGCATCAAAATTACCCAGAGCCCAACGTGACACATGTCACAATGTGTGTTTCGCCCAACCAGGAGTCCAAACCTCAACATTATTTAAAGATATTAACAAATCCTCACATTTTAGATTTGTAACCAGGACAAGTTTTAGTGCAAAATTACTTTAATCATTCGCAAAAAACCCTCTTATTCAAACTGTTCCCATGTTTTTGTAAAGCTGTCTGTGCATGTTTCACTTGTCTTAAAAACAATTCTGTGAATCAATGCTGGATCTGACTTCTAAGCACATACTTTCATTTCTCTTAAATAAAGATACAACAGTTTAATTTCCCTGTGACTCGGTGGAATCTTCCCCCTTTTTGATAGTTATTCTGAGAAGAAGCACTGGACTTAAATGCTGTACATTTATTTCCCCTTTGATTGTTTTGGTTGACGATCTCACCAAAGTGTCTCTGAACATTGTTCTCTTACTATTGTGTTAAAAAAGGAAAATGAACACATTCATCTGAGTCCATTTCTGAATCCAGTTATTACTTTGCACTCATAAATGCAGCAGCCAGTGCTGAGATCTTGAATGTTCATACGTGACCTTATGAACTGTCCATCTTGTGAAAGAGGAACAAGAGGTTTGTGCGAGAGAAATTTCTAAGAAATGATTGAAACAGAAACATCTGACGCTGTTACTGAAGAAAACATTTCCTTTAAGGAATCTTAACAGTATTTTGCATGTTTTTTTAATGGGTTTCAGTAGATCACACTTACTTAACTTACTTATATCATCGCTTGAAGTTCGATTTGATGAGCACAAAGTTAATACGTTTTAACAAACCTGAATTCTCCTTTAAATGTTCATGGTTTAGTAATGAAAAGCGTACTTTGTTTGCAACAGATGTGAAACATGCATGAAAAAGGTTGTTTTTTTTACTAATGACAAAATGTTATGAAGATAAGGGACTCTTTGTATATTTATTCTATTCACTTAGTACACCCTGACAAACTTTCAGAACAGAAATCTGACAAAGTCTTCATGATTGGTCCAACAGCAGTGACCTTTTATAACCTCTTCTTTCCTTCTGCTCTTTACACACTTACGGTATATATATATTTCTTTAAAACGTACCTTTTAAAGCTGGTTATACTGTTTTATTTCATGTCCAGCACTCCCATAGCTGTTCATCATGCTCTTACCTCAGTTAGCACACCCACTTTCATGCATCACAGACGATAAAGATCAGGCTTCCTCCTCAGGCTCAGTTAATGTTTGATGTTCACGTTTGTTAATGTTTTGAGGCACAAGTGAACCGACGGACACCAGTTGAGCTGATATCCAGAAAACCTGAGGAGCGGTAAGCATTTCTCTTTTAATTTTAGTGAATACAAACAGCACACCTGCTATGTTTGTATACAAATGAGCTGCAGATTACAACAACTGTCCCAACCGCTGTTTTAAAGGACCAAAATAAATGGCATGAACTGCTTTGGGTTCAGAGGGTCCTATCTGAATGAAGTATGCATTCATGTGCACACATTCTAATCTGATGCCACAATATCAATACAACTCATGGAAGTGGCTTCAAATGTTGGATGTTTTACTTGCTACTGTAAACTTTTACTAAATACAACAGATGTAGAATGATGTCAACATTGCGAGATACGTTTTTTTGTGTTATTGTTTTATTTTTTTTCAAATGTTCATTTTATATCAAATTGAATAATACAATTAAAATCTTGGATTATAATCTAAAATATAATACAAATAAAAAAATGGAAAAGCTGGCAGGCATATTGTATATACAGTATTTTATACACATACATACAGTTTTTACGCCATTTGTATGATGCATACAGTCAGATATGTCATACAGGTAAAGGGTAGACAGGGCTGCATTACAGCAGAATGTATAATGTCCATACACAAAGTGTGAACAACCTACTTTTACCTGGATGAGTGGAGAAAAGTCGTGTCCTTAACCTGACTCTTTTTGTTCTCTCCTGTGACCTCGCAGTGTTTGATGCTGACTTTACTGAAGATGTATCGCCTCCGGCCCGTCGCCGCTCTCCTCCTCCTCCTCCTATCCATCGCTCCAGCGGGAGCTGAAGTGGTGACGTCGATGGCAGACTGTGAAGAGTTTTTCCTGCAGCAAACTCCACCAGACATCCCGGGTATCTTGGAGGGAGGGAAGATCCTGAACCAGAACAGATACAAACTCATTTGCCAGACTTTCAAAAACATGAGAAGATTTGTGACGCTCTACGACACAGAGAACAAGATCCCAGTGTTTTCTGCCTACAAGTACAGAGCGATACAGAGCAATGGGACCAAAAGAGAATGGAAAATAGAACCACAGGTATGCTCTTTTGTTTTTTTATTTTTGTTACCAAGTCACAAATATAATATTGTATGTCTGACTGACACTCCTACAGATCCAAATCCATAGCAACGACATCACTACTGCATTTTTAAGTTTTGCAAAGTAATCATTAAGTAGTGGAAATGTATGCAAGCTGATCCGGTAATACTGCAATACTACACAGATGCAAAAAATATTTATACATTACTGTGAATACTGGCTGATGCTACCGCTAACAATAATCATAATCCATCCATTATCTGTTAACACTTATCCTAATTATCCTAACAACACTTGTGTGTTTCTGAGAGCTCTACAAGTGATTTACATTTCATGACACTGTAACTTGTAAGGCTTGACACATGACATGACAACATCCTTTCAGTACTGACTGGGTTTGGCTTAAAGCTGATGTTATCACAGTCGTTTAACTTGTGTCAATCCAAGTTTGTTTTGTAAAATAGAAATCATCAGCGTCTATTATGTATCATTACTGCTACTGTACATTTGATCTGCTTTACCACTATCCTGCACACATCAGTAACTCAGCCTTTCAATTGTTACAGCTTGAGAACATACATGACAACAAGAACATGAGGAAATCATCCAAACCTAGTTACAACCACCAGGCAGCAAATACTGATTACACCAACCAAGGGTACGACAGAGGCCATTTATTTCCATGCTCTTATGCATCGACCAAAGAGGATAAGGAATCTACCTGTACCCTCACCAATGCTGTTCCACAAGAACCAACATTCAACAAGGGAAGCTGGAACAGAATGGAGCAATGCATCAAATGCTTTCTGGATGAGTACTGTACAAACAGCAACGGTGTCATTGAAGCCTTTTTGGTAACTGGAGCACAGCCCGGCACCACATATATCAATAACAAGGTTAATGTTCCTTCCATGCTCTGGTCAGCATTCTGCTGCTTCAGTGAGAAGGATGGAGGCAAGTGGCTAGCAAGCGCATATTGGGGGAAAAATGTGAAAGATGGCAGCAAAAATGAATCTCTTCAGGCAAAGACCTTGGAAGAGCTCTCTAAAGAACTGACAACATCAAACTCAAAATTTGAAGTGTTTCCTGGAACACATTGTCCTCCCGACACAACTGTCACTCAGTTGTACCCAAAACTTAAAATGTCTTGCGATTGCCCCACTTTAACTACTTCTGCCCTATCCACGGCCACCTCTACCCCTCTAATTTCAACGTCTACTACCCCAGCAACTAATCCAACCAAGACTACAACTACTAAATCCAAAACTGCAACTGCTACAACAACCACAACCACCAGCACAACTACAAAGAAGAAAGATGAGGACAAAAACGAAAAGGAAAATAAGCAGGAGATTAAAGGAAACCCAGAAGGAGGAGATCCAGTACCATCTATTCCAGGCAGTGGAGGGCTTCTTGGGGTTCTCGGAGTGTTGTTAATAGGAATATTTTCAGCATTGGCAACATATTTGTGGTTAAAAAAGCCATTACAATCTACCCATATTGCTACCCGACCACCAGTGGCATTTTGGTAGTAATTCACCGACCGTAGCCAAGCGTCCAACAACAACAATGCCCCAAACAGCACCCATCCATGCAAACTCTGCTGCGGCTTTTACATCAACCACCTCTGTCAGTGCAGCCACAGCTACGACACAAACAGCTATCATTTCTGATGAAAGCTTTTCTACCAAACCTTCTCCAGCTACTGCAACAGCTCATCACATCTTCTCCACTCATAGTCCCTCCTTCCTCTTCAGCGCCTTCTGAAACCTCAAGCCCTCCAACAAAGTGTTACCGTCTGTTTTCTCATTCAAATCCCTCCATCCTGTGTCCCACACAAATATGCATTTCTCTATTATGGTTATTATTATTTTTAATTTGGGCTGTACTGTCCCTTTAAACCTCTTTTGTCTTCTTTACCTTTTGATGTTGTTCTTTTGTTTTTATCAATACTAGCTCGTTGTCCTGTGATTTGTGAACAAGGTAATAACCAACTGTCACAAAATATCGTAACATTTATGTATTCAGTTCAAGTTTTGCTCTTACTTTAGAACAGAGGTCTTCAACAGGGGGTCCTGCGACCCCTAGGGGTCCGCGGAGGTACTGCAGGGGGTCCGCGAAATCTTTGGTTGATTGGACAGTTTTTCATTTTCTTTTTTCTTTTTCTTTTTTTCTCTAAACATGAATGTGTCTATTTTTTTAATAGTTCAGTATTTTATGCAAGATAACAGGTATGTTTATGCATGGCAGTGGCACTAATAGGCCATCACTCATTGTCGTTTTCACATTTATGTTTAAAATGAAAACGTCAATTTGAATAGCTTGTATGTATGATTATCATGCAATTGACAATGTTGATATTGGCATTGGTATCAGCTGACAAGGTGTGTTTATAAATGGCAGTGGCACGGCCGCCCTACTCACTGTACCTTGCACATGTTTAAAATAAAAACATGAATATATGAACCTGTGTATTATTTGAATAGCTTAGCATTGAATGCACAATAAAGAGGTATGTTTATACACGGTACTAGGCCCATTTAATATAAAACACAATTTTATACAATATATATAGTCGGGGGTCCCTGCTCCATCTCTCTATCAGTTTGGGGGTCCTTGGTCTGAAAAACATTGAAGACTCCTGCTTTAGAACATTACTGCATTGACTTTACTTGTCCTCCACTGTTGACATTTGTATTAAATGATCCATTAATCAATCGGTGATATCAGGTCCCTGTCTTTTATGTGGTGGGGCTACCACTTGGTTTATATTTGGATCCCAGATTGTAAAAGTAAATCTAAAAGATTTAAAGTTTTAATAATAGAAATATTACTCCTTATAATCTCCTAATCTAGCCAGACACACACACACACACACACACACAGGGATGGCTCAACCTTCAATCTCACATGTACAGAGAGCCTGTGTTTACACTGTAGAGGGGAAACTGGACACACAAAGTACATTTCTGCATCGTGACAAATCCAACAAACCTGATGATCAGGTGAGAAAACAAAATCTCCCTGATGAGGGAATTCCTTTCTACAAGGAAGCATACAGTGTTTCCTTCGTGCTGTTGATGCCAGGAGAGTCACAAGATATATGAGAACATTACTGGTGTATTTCCTGTTTAGCATTCATGAGTTTCACATGAGAGAGCAAACACACAGATGAGTCAGCGACACTTTATTAAGGGAAGCATTGAGTTGGTGATTTGCGAGTCGAGACATTTAGGTTTACAAAAAGTCAAAGCTTTTTAGACAGAAAAGTATGGGGACTTGTGTTTATTTGTTTTTCCCAAAGTTGTATGAGTCGACATACTTGCTCAAGGCCTATAATGGAAATAATGAGTGTGCCTGCATGAGGAGTGATGCAGATATATGGTAAATAAGCTATGGGCTTAGGCATGCGAGAGTATAGTCTCCCTGTCTGAACTTACGCTAGAGCTTCATTAGTTTAACTACAAGACTTCTGTGTTGGTTACCCGGATCAGGTTTTGTTCATTAGTGGAATTATTAAGAAATGAGACACTGAAAATACAAAACTAACGCTGTGCAGGTGAGACAAATTGGACACATAAAAATACAGTAAAAAACAAAAAGCTCAGTTGAGTATCTTACAATTTTCAGCAAAGTGTTGGTAAGAAAAAATCTAAAAACCTGTAATTAAACAGACATTGAACACATCTTCAGTTTAATACATGAACGTATAAAACTTCAACACTGGTTGTGTTGTTTCTCTTCAGCTGGCTCCTGGTTTGATTGTTGAGTAGAAGGTTGATGAAAGATCCATTTCTGAGAAAACACACACATGTAAACTATTAAGCTGTTAAAAAGCTGTAAATAATGTGGAGGGACAGTTTTCACTGGAAGAAAAGCAAACACAGCCTCTATAACTGTACTTTAACCTTTAATAATACATCGTTTATTTGATTATTTCTTTATATTTCGTCTCAATAATCTGAATCAGCAAAGTAACTTGTAAGTAAATCTTTACAAAGCGCAATATTTCACTCTGGAATGTAGTAGAAGTTTAAAGTACCGTAAAATACAAATACTCAGTACTTGAGTAAATATAATTACTTTCCAAATTACTTTCCACCACTTTGTTCACTACTGTGATGGGAGATTTTTGGAGGTTATTGATTCTCCAATTGCATCTACTGTGTTTTGCCGTGTGCTGGATACCAAAATGTAGGTGAGAGGATATGTGTTTGTTTCAAGCATGTCAAAACTATCACTATCACCTGAGGGTACATACGCCTTTCTCACAAAGAGAAGAAGAGCTGTTTTAGTTCCGGCCATTTTGTTAGTTATTTTGGACATTGGTCTATAATGTGTTTGTGTGTGTGTGTGTGTGTGCGTTACCTATGTCCTCCTGTGGTTGCACTTCCTTTGTGATGTTGACATCCGTGTACGACACTTCAGAGTCGTCTTTACCTGCAGCACAACACTTCTCACTGTTACACATTTAGGTTCACATGTTTTAAGGCAAATTACAATTAATTTAGAAAAGTATTCGTTGGTTTATCAGAACATTTAGATTTTTTTATTTTTAATTCCTGAAGACAACATAAACTGACAACATGTCAACTTGTAAACATAAAGTAAACTGTCATAAGAAGCAATGTGTGGTTTGAAACAATTTGCCTCTCTATAGTGCATTTGGGGACTATTTACAGCAGCGGATTGATCCACGTTTGGTTCTCTGGTGAGTGTTTGTGGCAGCAGGGATTGGGTGGCATTGAGTCAAAATAAACAATGGAGCTCTCTAGTACAGAGGAAGAAGGTACATCAGGCTTTGCAAATCATTTTGAATACTGTCGGATAAGTTTATTGTTGGTTTTGTTGACCATGAAATATAATATCACCATGTTTGTTGACAGGCTGACCTTTCTGGTTCCTCCAGAGGCACAGCAGCATCACAGAGGCCAACAGGATGCAGACGGCCATCACAGAAAGTAGAATCGGTGCAAGAGGGAGATGAGAAGATTCAGGACGCCCAGCTTCAACACAACAAATGAGAAAAACAGTTTGACGTCAATGCAAAACACAAAAACAGCTCTATGTGGCTATGTGCACAGATCAATACATCTCCTCATTCATCTCCTGGTAATCAGTAAAGCATCTCTCTCATTGTCTCGCCTCTGACAGCCAGCCAGCTGTCTCCTGATTCTCCAGCTCCAAAGATGTGACACTTGTAGAGACCTTCATCAGACTTTAAAACACTGTGGATGGTCACGTTTCCTGTCGAGCTGCTGCCGACGAGGACGTCATCTTTATAAAATTCAGCTGTGAGATTGGAGGAGGACGTCGTCTTCGTTATGCAGTGAAGAGTCACAGATTCTCCCTCCTGCACAGGATGGACAGGACTCTTCAGGATCACAAAGCCTGCTGAATGACAGAGCGGCACAAAGGTCAGAAAATGGTTCAGAGGTGAAGTAGCTTTAAAGCTGCAAATAAAGATCACGTATAGCAGTGACTTGGCAAATTGTGCTTTTTATGTTTTGTACAGATTAAATGAAGATTGTGAGCTTTAATGTTTGGGTATTTTGTTACTTTCAGACAGAACCAGGCTAACTGTTTCCATATGCTTCCAGTCTTTGTGCTAAGCTAAGCTAACTTGGCCGCTTGCTATAGCTACACATTTATTGTACAGACACGAGTGGGGTGTCTAGCTTCTAGTCTTACTCGGCAAAAAGGCGAACAAGAGTATTTGCCAAACTTTCCTCTATGTCACGGCATGTCTGTCCAGCTTTGTCTCACCAAATGTCATGTGATTGACAAGACCATTTGTAAGTCATTTAGCATACAAAAACATCACCAATCTTGCTTTTTCTGTCATTTTGCAACATAGTCTGCACTGACTGTAATATAAACTCATATGTGTGAATGTGCTACGCTCAAGTTACATAGTACAAACAGTGAGAAAGTGAAGGTGTAGACACCTTCTGTGTGCAGTTGAGGGTTTGCATGTGGTGATATTTTTGTGTTGGTGGTTTAGTTGAACCCACCGGTCACAGTGATGTTGACGGCATCGCTGCACTCTCCAGCTCCAAACTCACACCAGTACACTCCAGTGTCTAATGTGTGAAGGTCATCGATAAAACTCTGGAACTCATTTCTTTTACCCCAATTCATGCACTCTTCATTTTTGTGCATGGATGTGTTTCTCTTAACTCTCCACTCAGAGAAGTGTCCTGAGTCCACACAGCTCAGTGCTACAGACTCGTACTGAAAGAACTGGGATCTGTTGGGAACGAGTCTAAGAGAGGCTGAAAGAAAAAGAGAGATGATGACAAAGTGAGATTTTCACTGTAAATGTGTTCACACTGCGAGTAACAGAAGTCCTGTGAATTCCTGCAGAGGCTAACAGCAATGTGTTGCCTGACACGTCTTCTTTGTGAACTCCCTAGTTATAAGCCGCTCTCTGCGGACACTCTGCAAAACCACCTACTAAAACACTACTGTACTACTTGTACAGGCATTTAATAGAATTTAAATGTCCGTAAACAGTAACATGCTTCCTCTCATTTTCTGAAATGATATTAAACATCAGACCAGGTTTTATTATTTAATCGGCTAACTGCTTGTTGAATCAGAACACAAAGTATATTGAAAAAAAGTTTCAAATCGATATTATCGACATTAAAGATGCTCATAAACCCAGGTGCACACTCATAATCACATAATGTTATTACTCATAGTACTCACCGACAATAATGCAGAGTGTTGTGAACTCCATGCTTGACTGACTGAGGGGCTGCTTCATGCCCCTGATCTGACTTCATGTCATATATAGACATTGTTTGTACAGGATGTGTGTCAGCCGAACGCGTTAAAACCACAAATGTCAAAGGTTTCATATTTTAGTTCTTGTTGTACCACCCATTGGCCGTCTGACAAGAAGCAGCACGTGAAGCTGGGAAAGCACGTCTCAGCCTCCCGGACCATTAGCACCGGTTCCCCCCAAGGCTGCTTCTTTCTCCTCTGCTCTTCTCCCTGTACACGAACAGCTGCACCTCCAGTCACCAGTCTGTCAAGCTCCTGAAGTCTGCGGATGACACCACCCTCATTGGACTCATCTCTGGTGGGGATGAGTCCGCCTACAGGTGGGAGACTGACCATCTGGTCTGAACAACCTAGAGCTCAACGCTCTAAAGACAGTGGAGATGGTTCTGGATTTCAGGAAGAACGCAGCCATGCCAGCCCCTATCACCCTGTGTGACTCCCCCGTCGACGCTGTGAAGTCCTTCCGCTGGTTAATTTGCAACCTAGTTGTACACATCATGTATCATCATTTATGTTTGTGCCATTTAATAACTAAACATTCCTACATGGAAGAGTGAGCATGTGTTGATCACGAGGCAATAAATAAAGACAAGTGAAAAATATAGAGATGTTTGGTTTATTCTTATTAAACATTATACATAATTTACCTACCTCATTGATTTAATTGTCACACTTAAATCCTGATTGTAATGGTTAAACAAGAGGTCAAAGGGCCAAGATGAGAAGATATAATGTTGGTCAAATACTGTGGTCCAAATAAAAGCACTTCAGTTTTTATTGCCAGTGAGTTACAGAAAGTTTGACTCTAGAATGTTTTCTAATCTCACAAGACCAGAGCAAAAACCAGATTCATTGGTTCTCTTTTCTTCTTTGCTACCATGTTATCTGTCTCATGACCCCTCAGTTTTAAATCTGGAGCTTTAAGGAGATGCAGACGTCAGACTGGAATTGGGTTGGGAACCAATGCAACCAAGGGTACTTCTCAAGTCTCTTAATTGTCGTTTCCTCGCTCCTCGCTTGAACCGGAAGTTGTTTCTGCGCCGCCATATTGACGGCCATCCCAAAGCTCTAATGTAGCTCGGAGGAGCGAGGATCGAGGATGGAGGAGGGAGCTCGGAGGAGCCATGAGCGCGGAACCACGAGAACAGACCTCCAGGAAGTCTTTTAACGGCCGACACGCCCCCTCACTGTTCATCAGTCATGTGATTGGACGCTGAGTTTAACACCAGAGTGAAGACTGATCACAGAATAAACTCTAGTTTATATTTAATTAGGTTTCTGATTCATCATCTGGTTTAAATAAATGTTCATTGTAGTCTGAACAACAAAACGACCACAAACAACTTTCTTCATTTATTAGAAAGATTTGTTTTCATGATCTGATGTTTCCCTCAATAACTTTTATTATGAGTACAATTAAAGTCAGAGAGAGCTGAGAGACTAAACACTTTTTACATCATTCCTGAGTGTTTGATGAGTTTTATCATTTAAGAGAAACAATCATCATATTCTGCCACAGTCACAATTTCAAGACGTACAGACGCAAATAATTCATAAATAAGACGATCGCATTCCGCCGGTAGAAATGGATCCTGTGCTTATAAACAGAACACAGTACAGTTTAACAGACTACAGAGAGAAACACCTCTACAGTGGTGATCACTGTGTGTCTTTATTAGTATTATTAGTTACTGTTATTAAGTACAGTGATCACGTGAACAGACACTAACTTATCAAAAGTCTCTCCAGCTGTTAAAGCCGACTGACAGCTGATCAGCTGTGATCATCAGCACCTTCATCAGAAACAGACGTTGCTTCACGTGACGCAACTGAGGAAAGGACGTCTCGTGTCTCTTAAAACATATTTCTTCGTTTCCTCTCTCCTCGCATGGTTTCCTCCATGCATCCCTGGTGGGAGGGCCTAAGACGCAAGGAAAGGACGCAAGTGAGGGAAACAAGGATGCAATTAAGAGACTTGAGAAGCACCCCAGCTCTTTAGCGTGTTGGACACTCGCCCTCCCGAATTTAGGTAAAGTTAGAAAGATATTGACAGATTCGGACTTCCCGGTTCAATAAATCGTTAACGAAACGTTGCTAAAATACAAACGATACCTCCCTGTAACCGTAGTGAGGTAGACAACAAGCTACAACCTTAATTGAATTAAAACGGGCCGTCTTACGGACTCCTCCGAGCTGGACAATCTGCATTGGTCTCAATGAGCGGTCGGCTGCGAGACGAGTGCGCAGGGACCGTCTACAAAGTGCAATGCGGAAAATACCTACTACAACAATATTCAATAGCTTCACTGTCATGCAATGTAGTGTAACCAAAATCACTTCATACATCAATGGGCTTCTCCTTGTTGTACTACAACTGCTATTTTGAAAAAATATGATTTAGATTAATTTTAGTGAATATTTATTGAAAATAATAATCGATAGCTTTACTGTTGATAAGTGTAGCATGCCCAAAATCACTTCATACATCAATGAGCTCCTCCTTGTTGTACTACAACTGTTATTTTGAAAAAAATGACTTTGATTAATTTTAGTGCATTTTTATTGGAAATAATATTCAATAACTTTACTGTTATAGTGTAGTGTGACCAAAATCACTTTTGACAGGTGCTGTCAAATTCTCTTTCTGGTGACGATTCCAAGTGACATTAAATTATCAGTGATTTAGTCAAACCAGTAACCATTAGAGAACTACAAACATACAGTTAATTTAAAGCTCAATTAAAGAAATGGTTAGTTAGTACCCAACTCTGTCAGCACTAGAATGTAACTGCTTCTCTGTCCATGTTGAACTTTCCCTCGTCTGTCTGTCTGTCTGTCTGTCTGTCTGTTTTGATTGCCGGTCGACCCTCATCTACCTGCATGCTTGCCTGCAACTTTACCTAACCCCCTCCCGACTCTCTCAGGTGGATCTGTGGAAAACCTTTTCCTGTAACATTCAGCACCAGACAAGGAAGCGACTCCTCGAGCCACGTGGATGCAGCATGTTACATTTTCTGCAGTCAAATGAACGGTTTCAGAGAGTCATAATAAATAGGTGGACTTGTCTGTATAACAGTCAGCGATGCTTCACTGGAGTTCAGTCTTCTGTGGGTCTGCTGATCAGTGAAAGGAGAGTTAAGTTACATTAAATGAACGTGGAGGAGTTCAGTTACACAGCTTCTCTCTCGCCTCTAATCTCAAGCTTCACTCTCCTCGTCCTCGTGCTGCTTTTCATCTTCACACCTGTTGAAGGTAAGCTCATTCAATATGTACTCGCGCCATATTCTTACCACAGCAACGACTGCAAATATTAGTTTTGTAAATATAATTGAATATATGGCTGGATTTTACACATTATGCAGTTAATTCCTTTTTTCTGTGCAAAAGTGCGTCGCTGACTTTCAATAATTGTGGATATTTTTTCTCCCAGAATGTAAATCATTTAAAATCTTGATCGGGTCAACCCTTCTACATTTAGACTGTAGTGAAGTCAATAACCTGACAATAGACTCTCTGTGTGCTCAGTTATTAGGCAAGTTGTATTTTTGAGGATTCATTTTATTATTGAACAACTACAGAGCTCTCGGTCAATCCAAGACGTTCATAAACCTCAAACCTGAATATTTAAGAAAGTAAGAGTGAGGTTTTGGCTTTCTGAGGAGAATATGTGCACAATTAATGTGCACCTATTAGTCTGCAGAATTATTATGCAACTAAATGTTTCCATCTCACTTGTTTATTTTCAGTTGTTAAAGTGAGAATAATAAACAAACAACTCAAAACTTACAAATAAACATTTCTGACATTTCAAAATAAATCAGTGACCAATATAGCCCCCCTTCTGTTCAATAACAGTATTAATAAGCCTTCATTCATGGATTCTGTCACTTTCTTGATCTGTTGACGATCAACTTGTTGTGCAGCAGCAACCACAGCGTCCCAGAACCTGTTCTGAGAGGTGGACTGCTTCCTTCACCGTAAAGCTCCCGTTCAAGAAGTGCCCACAAGTTCTCAACAGGGTTTAGGTGAGGAAGGGGGCCATGTCGTTCTTTCATCTTTAAGGCCTTTACTGGCTAGCCACGCAGTGGAGTACTTCCATGCATGTGATGGAGCATTGTCTGCATAAAAACCATGGTCTTCTTGAAAGATGCAGACTTTTTCTTGTACCACTGCTTGAAGAAAGTGTTTTCTAAAAACTGGTTGTAGGTTTGGGAGTTGATTTTGAGTTCATCTTCAACCTGAAAAGGTCCAACGAGCTCATCTTTAATAATACCAGCTGGACCTTTTTAAAAAGATGTGATGCATTGAAGACACATCAGAATATAACCTGATCCATTAAAAACAGCTGTATTATTTAAATTACACTTTTCAACAACAACATGAGGTTGTGTGTGTTCTCTGTGTGGTATTTGTTATAAATGTTGGTGCATAGATGTTCATAGTTGATTGATGACAATAAGAAGCTTGATGTGTTGGAGGAAACATGAGAGAACTCTTTGAGAAACACGGTCTGAAGAGAGAAACCAAAAGTGAGTAATCATACATCAATCAGATTGGAGAAGTTGTCAGCAGTGTCAGAGCCAGAGCACGTGTGGTGAATCGTTACTGCCCAGAGTTACTGTTAAGTTATCAGCTGTGAAACTGACTCTGGATGGTAAACACGTCGTGTAGGGGAGGCAAGAAGTGAGACGAGTAATGAAACGACAACAACCAGTTTGAGCGCCTGAGTTACTTGTTCACATATCATACGACAGAATCGCCCACTCTGTCTCTGTTTGGCTGCTTGGCGGTAAAACGCAACGGGCGGGACTTTCCACAGCTTGTAGTGTTGTTTCGACACGTGTTGACTGTTTCCTGTGGTGTTGAACATCTGGCGCTGTCTTGAAACATATTACTGCAGCTTATACTTATTTCATTTGACTATGAATGAAACGTCTTCAGGGAAACCAGCTTTAGCTGTGGTTGTAGTTCACATTGACGCTGCATTGGCATCAAGGCTTTGTGTCATCAGTTGTGTGTAATGAGCAGGATGATGAACACAAAGGAGTATTGTGATGTAGAGACAGACTGTAGATGTGTACCTCCAACACCTTGATGTGATGTGTTGGTGACTCTTCACCTCTGTCTCCTCTCACAGGGAGGAGATGACCTGCTGCATCCTGCTGCTCTTCATCCTGACCTCCTGTGTCTGTGGTGAGTTGACTTTTGTATGTTTAAAGCACTACAGCTCTGAAGCATCACTAAACACTCCACAGAAACATCTAGAGATGCAGTTTAGAGGCTCTCATGTTAAAGCTGTTTGTCTGCTCCTCACTCTCCCTCTCTGTCTCCTCAACAGCATCATTAGTAGTGGATGTGACACAGAGCTCCTATCAGGCAGAGGAGAACCACAACATCACTCTGGAATGGACCTTCACCACCAGAACAGACGGTTCCCTCAACTCCCTTAATATCATCTGTGACATGTTCACTGATGTCAGACTCTTCACCCTGTTTCATCTTCATGAAGGTGTCGAGGTTCCAGAGTCTCAGCATGAACGGTTTGCAGGACGAGTCCAGTTTGACAAAGACGTCCTCAGAGAAGGACGACTCAGACTCCACATGTCCAGACTCAGGACTGATGACTCAGGTCTTTACCAGTGTGATGTGTTCACAGGTCATGATGAGAGATCAAAGAGATGTCACCTCAACGTCACAGGTGAGTTGATTCAGCAGAAGTTTCCTGGACTAAAAAGAACCTGATTATTGTCGTTACACTTCCTTCTTACAGGATCTGTGAAATATGTTCCAGTTTAATCTGTTGAGGACGTTTAGTTCATGTTGTAGTGAGATGTTGTTTCTTCTCATCAATGACTCAGACTTGTTTGGTCTCTTTACAGCAGAGAGGGATCGGCCCAAACCTGAGACACCAAACTCATCAAGTGGAGGAAGAGGTGCTTCAAGGACAGGAAGTCCATCACAAGCAGAGAGACGGGGATGGATCGTCCTCTACTGTGGACTGGGACTGATAGTAGCAGGAACTCTGCTGGGTGTTTGTTACTATCTGCGTAGAAAACATTCAACGAGTTCCTCTGCCTACAAAACTAGATCCATTGATTTCCTCCATACAGACGAAGATGAGTCTAGTCTCTTAGAGGTCAGAGGTCGGGGGTCCAAAGCAACGTCTGAAGGTCTCGTTGTGATGATCTGATGTCTGAATGAGCTGCTCAGTCACAGCTGGTCGTAGCGGAGTGAGAGGAGTTATCTATGGTCTTCATCTCCTCCTTCATCTTCCTCTTCATCACTGTCTCATGGTCTTCATCTCCTCCTTCATCTTCCTCTTCATCACTGTCTCATGGTCTTCATCTCCTCCTTCATCTTCCTCTTCATCACTGTCTGATGGTTTTCATCTCCTCCTTCATCCTCCTCTTCATCACTGTGATGGTAAATAAGCAATTATCTGATGAGGCAATGCAAAGTGTTTTCATAAAGGAAACACAGAATGTTATAAAGAAACAGAGAAAGACGATGAAAGAGTTCAACAGTAAACAGACCTGAACCATCTGAGAGGTCTGGACGCTTTATGAATGAGCAGCAGATTATAAATATATCAGTGCTTCATAACAATAGTATGTTAAAGCCTCTGGCACACAGTGTGAAGAAGATGATGATGATGATAGTTCACAGAAACTGACTCTTCAACATGTTTATCTTGTTTTAGTCCTCCACAGATAATCTGCTCTGTGTTCACTTTATTGAAATAAGACGAGATAGAACTTTATTAATCCTGAAATATATACTTGCATGAAGAGTAAAGTAAATAGATGAAGAGAATAAAGTTCATCAGAAGTAATACTGACATCAGTGTGTAATAGAAGCTCAAATATTGATCAGTATATCGAGGAGTGATATTGTGAAGGACATAGAAAAGTATTAAAAGTTATGTTGTACATGTATAATGAAAATAATATTGCACATGATATTAATGCTGCTTCTCATTTTCACTGCACTTTGGTTTCTTCTTTGGGCTTTCGAACATGTCAGTTGTGTAGCCTGTTCGTGCCCCTTCCATCTGGCAGGAGACTGAGGTCCATCAGGACCAAGACCTCACGCCACACGAACAGCTTCTTCCCGTCGGCAGTCGGGCTCATTATCAGAGCCCGGGTCCCCCACTGACTCTGTCATCCCCAGGACAATATACCGGTCACTCACCTGCATCCCTTCATATTTAAATACACTTGTCACTTTTACATTACACTCACATTACACTTGTTTAAAGTACTGTTATCTGTTTGTTGTGCACTTTATTTATATAATTATTTGTATAAAATGACGTCTGTGGGCTGTTCGGGTATAAAATGACGT